TCTCTTTCTTTTTCTCTCCCCCCCCCCCCCCCCCCTGGTCCAATGTCCCCATGTTCCCATGCATCGTTTCGGGACATGGATGCAGTCTAGGTGGAAACGAGCCGTTGTACCTTTGGCGGGAGTTTGCGTCTGGATCCGTCCTCTTTTTTGGGGTGTCCGACCTGAGAGAGAAGGCGTGAGACGGAAAATGATAAAATCAAAGCCCGTTCCCCATCCCCAGATCTATTCTCTTCTTCTCCATCCTCATCCTCATCCGGCAATCTTCCCTTCGCCTTCTCACAGCTTGGCCTGTGGTCTTTCGATCCTTTGATCCCCCCCCCCCCCCCTTCAAACCCCACACAGAGGAAATCGCCACGGCAGCGAGCCGCCCCTCTCTCAACATGTCCGAGAAGTTCGACACCGTGGACACTGTCCAGGCTCACGATGACACCTACGACAAGGTAAGGAGACTCTGGATTCGGCAAACCTCGACGACTTGAAACGAATGGCAGCTAATCATGTTCTTGCTCAACAGAAGGAGGTCGAGACCAAGGTCATCAAGGGTAACGAGGCCTTCAGCGAGGCCATGATCAAGGAGCCTCCCCGTGCTTGGTCCAGCGCCATGATTCTCGTCTACTGCTTCTCCGTCGTCGGTTTCTTCTGCTCGACCATGAACGGATACGACGGCTCCCTAATCAACAACCTGCTCCAGAACCCCGCCTTCCGTGAGAAGTACGGTGTCGAGTTCACTGGTATCTGGACTGGTATCGTCTCCTCCATGTACCAGATCGGTGGTGTCGTTGCCATTCCTTTCGTCGGACCCGCCATCGACACCTGGGGCCGCCGCTATGGCATGCTCATCGGATCCGTCATCATCATCGTCGGTACTATCATCCAGGGTCTCTCCCACGGATCCAGCCAGTTCATGGGCGGCCGTTTCCTCCTCGGTTTCGGTGTCTCCATCGTTGCCTCCGCCGGTCCCATGTACGTTGTTGAGATCAACCACCCCGCCTTCCGTGGTGTTGTCGGTGCCATGTACAACACTCTCTGGTTTTCCGGTGCCATCCTCGCCTCCGGTGCCGCTCGCGGCGCGCTCGAGCACATCAAGGGCGATGCCTCTTGGCGCCTGATCACCTGGCTCCAGTGCCTCTTCTCTGGCCTCATCTGCATCTTCGTCTGGTTCATCCCCGAGTCGCCCCGTTGGTTGTACGTCAACAACAAGCAGCAGGCTGCCCGCGACATGATCACCAAGTACCACGGTGAGGGCAACCCCGACTCCGCTTGGGTTACTCTCCAGATGAACGAGTACGAGGAGCTCCTTGACATGAACGGTTCCGACAAGCGCTGGTGGGACTACAGCGCGCTGTTCCGCAACGGCGCTTCCCGCTACCGTCTCTTCTGCAACGTCGCCCTGTCCTGCTTCGGTCAGTGGGCCGGCAACGCTGTCCTGTCGTACTTCCTCGGCGCCGTGCTCGTCACCGCTGGCTACTCCAGCGCCATCGCCCAGGCCAACATCACCCTCATCAACACCTGCCAGCAGTTCCTCTGCGCCATTGCCGGTGCCACTCTGGTCGACAGGGTCGGTCGTCGCCCTCTCCTGCTCTTTTCCTTCTCGTCTGTCACCGTCATCTGGGCTGGCATGACCATTGCCTCTTCCATCGTTGCCAAGTCTCAGACGGGCACTGACGAGAACGGCACTCCCATCTACAACGACCCTGCTGCCTCCAAGGCTTGCCTGGCCATGATCTTCCTCTTCGGCTCCTTCTACTCCGTTGGTATCACGCCCCTTCAGGCTCTGTACCCCGTCGAGGTCCTCTCCTTCGAGATGCGCGCCAAGGGCATGGCCTTCTCCAACTTGGCTGTCAACGCCGCCGGTCTCCTCAACCAGTTCGCTTGGCCCGTCTCCATGGAGACCCTTGCCTGGAAGACTTACATCATCTTCACCATCTGGGATCTTGCTCAGACAGTCATCATTTACTTCTACCTGCCCGAGACCAAGGGCCGCACTGTAAGTTGCTCTTCTTGCCCTCGCTAGCGATGCAATCCACTGACAAGCCAATCCAGCTCGAGGAACTCGACGAGGTGTTCGCCGCCAAGAACCCGGTCAAGCACTCTCTCCAGAAGAAGGAGATTGCCGTCGACGCCCACGGCGACGTCGTCAATGTCCAGAACGTTTAAACGCGCTCTGCGACGGAGATTCTCATGCAGAAAAGAAGAAAACAGCGAAGCGAGCGCGTTCTTTACCACCCCCCACGCGTCGGCAACCTATTTGGGCTGCCACGTTTACACTGCTTTATAATATCACGAGAGATGGATGCCGGAGGATGATTCTTGGGTCGTTGTGGCACTGTCTGGGAGGCCTGAGACTCACGGTTTCGTCTGCCACGATGGAATCATGCGAACGCTCTTTCCGAACAACTTTGCCGGCGGCTAGCTAGCTAAATACCACTTTGCGCTACGCTGAACTCTTTTGCATTCGATGGTGACTGTTTATGATAATGGACGTGAGAGGGCCTGGCAAACTAAAAGCTTGACTGCACTTTTCTAAGCTGACAGCTGGACCGTAACCTCAACCGGCATGGATGTTTTATCCGATGCAGATGGCAATGTCGCTAACAGACCAATTTGACGTGCAGCCCCTCGGAGGAGCATGTCGATCTCTACCCCTATCTGGAGGGTAAACTACTGAGTACATTCAGTCGTCCCCAGCGTGGTTGGCTGCGGCGAAAGGCTTGGTATTGCTTCGCCTCTGGGCAACAGCAAGTGTGGTGGGTTGGCGCACCCCTACGACGTGCCTGCACGCGGGATGGTATCAGTCATGTTCTGGGGGCAAATTATCGCTCCGACCGAAACACTCTGGGCGGAATCCTGAGCCAACGAGCCGGTTGCTGTTGTTGGGGGCTGGATTCTTCAAGGCGCGGCCGTATGGCGAGATATCCGTGGCGAAGTACTTCCTTCGTCAGCACGAAAACGTTGGTGGTCAACAATGTGTTGTTCGCGATCCGAGCCGGCATCTCGATCCCGCCTTGATTTCCATGACCTGTCTGCGTTGCAAAGTGGATTCATTGACAGCGGCACAATGCAGGGCAGTCAGTTGCCGGTCATGCTTTCTTTTCCATTGAGGTCATGGTAGATAGCCGTCGCCTTTGCATCAGCTAAACCAGGCTGCTCGCACGGCGTGATGTCGTTGAGAAGGACGACTGGTACGGGAATGTGCTCCATGCCAAGGCGTGGTCGTGACTGAACTGAGACCGAAAGGCTGCAGAGACGGCCTTGAAAGTTTGGCGAAACGGGGCGAGCTTTTGAGCATATTACAAACCGCGCAGGCTGATCCAACCCCCCCCCCCCCCCCCCCCCTGGGAATTCAATTTTAAAAACACCCGACAGCATGGGACTGGCCGTGTCATTTTGCCTGTGGCCGTGTCATTGCCAGGCAAAATGTGACACTCTTTCTTGCCAGATACTTTGCATACACGCGACGCGAGGGAGTCAGGCAAAAGTGTGACGGGTAGCTATAGGTTGAGGGTAAGGGAATACATGTAGCAGCGTCCGGGTCAATGGCACTTGACTGAAGCCACGTGATGATCAAATCGATGAATGGTGGATAAACACGGCCTCCAGCTGAGAGCTTTTCTGTTCAGCGCTCGCTTTCACGTACCATGTGACGATTTGAGTTGACTTGTAAGTTGGTCATGGTGAGCGGGCATCTTTGGGAACCCGGCGCTTCCACCGAGTGGCTGGTCTCGAGAGTCTGCCGAGCAAGCCAGAGCGCAGGTGACTTGTGGGCATCCAGGGGAATTGTTACTCGAAAAGAAGCAGTCCCTCAGGCCCTGGACTGTGAGCTGGAGCGAGATGACAACAACCCTGGAAGGAAAAGGGTCGCTTCTCCGCCTTGGCGCAACGCAAGCATTGGTCTGCCGTATTAAACGCCAAGGCATGGCATTGCGGACCGTGTTGCGGTGCGGGCGCCATCACGCGGGGTTCTGTCAGGCTCCTCGCTCCACAAGGGGTGGCTGGCTGCTGGTGGAGAAGGGGGTGTGCAGGCGCTTTTGGCGTCTGGGGCTTTACGGGCCAGGAGTCTCGACATTGTTAGCATGATTGCCGGCATGCTCGACGATCTGCGCCGCTCGTCTGCTGTTTGACCGAGGAACGACAGGAGGCTCCCTGGGTAAGGTGAGGTGCGCCATAAAGAAGAGCATCACATGGCGACAGGGTGAGTTCGAGCGAGAGAGAGGTGTCACGATTAGACGGGCAATATCATTCCAGAAGACAGTTCGTGGGGCTGTTGATTGGGGATCACAGTATCGCCGTAAAATGCCTAGCCACGATTTGCCGTGTTGGCATCGAAAATAAGCTTCTTTCTCCAAGTGGTTCGATCGGCGAAGACGGACAGGAGAAAGCTTAGCACTATGTAACGTCAAATATAATTATCCGCCCGCGTAAGTCCTCCCATTCTGTCGCGAGATCCATTGCGATATGTTACAACTTGATAGTGAAGCTTGCGAGCATGATGGTGATCCGGCTCGTGTGCTAAACAGCGAGCGTTTGTGGAGTACGTTATACCTTAAGTAGGTACTGGAGTGAGGATTAGGTTTAAGCTTCATGAGTTCTTCATCCAATATCCATGGATCACATTGATGAGGGTTCCTTACATATGGAGACCGTTCCCACTCAGCATGAGGCTATGCTATTACTCAGCGGCATCACAGTACCTACATTCAGCAACTACATTACTCGTGCCCTGGGACGCAATCAATTTGCTGCCTCGGCGCATGGTGTTTCACGATGGCACAGGCCAGATACAATCAAGTGCCGTGGGTCTCATTCACTATCTCACAAGATTAAACACCGAGGGGACAAGGCTACGAGATTTGTTGACTGGCGGAAACTCTCCAAGCATCCACGGGCATGCTGCGCGAACATATCGCGAGGCGGAACTTACCATGGCCTGCAAATGTCCTGCTCTCACTCTGACGAGTCAGCGATATTGGGGGGGCCCTTGGCTCGTTAGTGGATGAAATGGATGCCGTTCTACAGAGTCATGGGGCGGACGACGTGGAAAAGCTATAAGAACTGACTGATTCTGTCGACGTAGAGCAATGGCCGTTGTCTGTGTCTGGAACCTACTCCGATCATCACAGACGCCCTCTACACGACTCACAATGCATCTTCCAAGTCTTTCCGTTCTGGTAGCCCTCGTCAGTATATCAGTCGCACTCTTCACAGCGGTACGAAGCTAACTTGAACCTCAGGCCCTGGGCAGCCACAGCGTTGTCGCTCAGAACTGCAGAGGCAACGTTTCCTCCATGTGGCGCTGCTTGCGCTCTGACAACACCAACTCGGGTTATACCACCTCGTGCTGTCCCCGTACGAATAGTTTCATGGAAAACGGAGCCGTAAGTTTGTGCAACTCTCGCGATTGTCGAGCGGGACTGACGATTCTCCCAAGTGTTGCACCACCAACTGGAGTGCCTTCCAGTCGTGCTGTTCGACGCACAACGGCTACTTTGCCGCCAATGGCTAGAAAAATTGAGAAGAATCATTCATTACACGGGAGGGCTGGAGCAGTGTAGGCTAGAGAAAAACCATCACGTTCATTGTGGGAAGAATTCAGCGAGACATAAGTATATGTGAATTGACAAGACCGGCTCGCACAGCGAGTACGGATGTACTTTTGCTAATTCTACCATGACTTTCTTCCTCAGAAATTGGATCGCCTTTAAGAATGATTGATTGTTGTTGAGGGGCGTGTCTGTGACAGGCTTCTGGCGTAGTCGGCGGTAAAGCTTCGTCAGGATGCAGCGAAGACCATAGGCCGGGGGCATGTGAGGCGAAACTTTTTAGAGAGCCTCGAAGGTCTTCTTGAAAGAGGCATCAAGATCCTTCTTGTCGCTCGCGAGACCCTTCTTGCAGGTAGGCACGAGGTCGATGATGCCGAAAGCGAGCTTGTCGACGCCACCCTCGATGGTGCGGAGGACCCCGGTGATGGGAGCGGTGAAGGGGGTGCCGGAGAGGAAGCTGCTCTTGCCAATGATGGTGTTAAGAAGGGCCTGGTGGACGCGGACGAAGTCACGGAAGACCTCGCACACCTGGTTCTGTCCGTCCGCGGGGAAGGGCTTGGAGGTGTCGGCTTCGGCAATCATGGTGATATCGGTGCGCACAGCGCCGGCAATCTCACGGATGTTGCTGAGAGCTTTCTGTGAGACGGGTCAGATACCGAAGTAGGATGTGGGCTAAGAGTCAATAGGAGTTCGCAGTAACCTACGGGGATCAGGGAGAAGACGTTGTTGAAGCTCAGGTCGGTCAGGATGTTGTTGGCATCCTGCGACAGATCGGTGACGGCCTCAATGCTCTTGACAACCGTCTGAGGAGTCAGCTCGCTCTTCTGGGCGGCGACGAGGCCGGCAAAGGCGGTAGCGATGGTGAGAAGCTTGAACTGCATGGTTGCGGTTTTGAAGACGATTCTAGCGCCGGGCGACTTGGTAGCGTGAGAGAGACTTGTAGAGAAGAATGAGGAGCTGATGCTGTGTGTGAAGAATCAAATCCATGATGGTTGCGAACTCACCCGACTATATATAACTGTTGTTGAACATATAAGAGACTCTATGGCTGAGCACGATATGTGGATTTGCAGCTATCCATAACACATGCTGAATGTGCGAGGTTGTGATCAGTGACTGGCATGTCCAGGACAGGTTGGTCGCTGAAGGATGATATCATGACGGGGTTAACCCATTCCACAGTATTGCGACAGAAATAACTGAGATGCTGGGTGCGTGTTTGTGCAATTGGGTAGGGGTACTCGATCACGAGCAGCGGCTGGACATCGTGACCGACATCTGGAGTGGGTGAGACAGCGTGCTTGATTCTGCAGATCAGAGCTTAATTCGCACCCTGAGAATTCCACGTATTCCTGCATGATTTCCAAATCTGTACCTGGATCGGTGCGGAGCGGCCCGGTGTTCAAGCACCGTTGCATTCCATGGGGCAAAGGGAATATGGATCATCACTGGTTCTGCCGAGACTTGGGGATATGGGGTAGGATCAAAAGAGGGCCTTGTGTACCCTCGCAACCCCGGACGGCCATGCGTCTGGCAAGAGATCTTCGATTTCCCACACGCGCGTTGATCTGCGGGAGGCGTGCATGTTACACTCACCTTTGACAGACCTAGACAGATAAATGCCTCGACTCCGGCACCCGCTTAACCGAGAGTCGGTCGGCCTCGTGTCGAAGCTTAATGGCGCGGCCGAAGCTTATTTGTGATTGAGCTGCGGATTGACTGAAATTTGAATGACGGAGCGTGAAGGGGTGGACGGATGGGCTGTGGCCGATCAGAAAATGCCAAACTTCACAGCAGCGTCCGCAGAGAGGCAAAGTGCCTCTTTCATATTGGAACAGGGCCACTTTCTACAGTCTAGCCTGGAAGATCAGCACCAAGACATGAGCCCAAGGAAATAGACAAGACGAGGCCAGTTGTGTCTGCAAGTCACAGATGTCTGGTAATGGTGATGGTGGTGGGTGCTCCGCGATGAGTCCAACCGCTATTTTCGTCGCATCCCTTGCATGGAGACACAGGATACCGAAGTGGACATGGAATGGGAACAAAACTTCAATGCTGATGACATCCGAGGCGCGGCTATCAAACGTTTGCGAGTGAGGCATATGCCATGCGTATCCCGCGAGGGAGGCGACACAGATACTCGAAGCTGTAGTGAGGCTTCTCTGAAGCCGGCGATCTGGATCCCCAGGCCAAACATGCTGACCGAGGGCAGCAGATAGCAATGCCCGAGTCGTCAGTCTCGGGCTATCCTTCGATACTTTATCAGTAAGAAGAAAGAAACCTAAGTGGAAGAGCCTCTAATCCTCTACCTTGAAACGTGCAGAATGACTCGGGCATTGAGACCTTGGAGCGAGGCAGAGCAGGCCGAGGAGGCCGAGCTGATGATGTCAGCCGCCCCATGGTCGGCTTCGCTGTGCTGTTGAGCTGTGCTTACCCCCCCACCCCGCTTCCTGATTGCCGATCACTGGATGAATCAACAGGTCGACTCCAACTTCCCTTCCGCGATTCTTCAACTTACATCCGCAGCGCCCAACTAAGAACCGCGACAACACGGACACGTCGGCAACTCGTGCCCGATGTACAGCGTTCCACCGCGGCACCTGGCTCTGGCTGTCCCCGAATGCGACGTGTCGGATGCGACACCTATAGTTGACACCTCCATCGATACCTCGTAAAAAACGACCCCGCCGAATCGAGGACCAAAACCCACCACACGACGCGCCAGGCGCGCCCGACTGCAGAGACCGCCATCTCAGGCTGTGCGCGAACACGATGGGATCCCCGGATTCCTCGCAGGCGATGGACCCGTCGTCGGAAGCCGCCGAACCACCGTCAGGTGCCCTCTCGCGCCATGGCACGACGACCTTCTCCCCCGAACAGGCCGTCGCCTTGACCTCCTCCGGAGCGCCGTTGCTGAACCCCCGAAGCTGCGTGACGTGCCGCCGCCGCAAGGTCCGATGCGACAAACAAATGCCGTGCTCCAATTGCCGGCGCGCATCCGCGCAGTGCGTCTTCCCCGCGCCCGGCCGTGCGCCGAGGCGACCCAAGCCCCGCGACCCAAACGCCCCGTCCAAGGGCTCCAGTGAGCGAGAAGTTGAGCTCATGAGGCGCCTGCGGAAGCTCGAGGGTATCGTCGAGGATCTCAGCGGACAGATCGAGGTGGAAACGGCGAGCAGCGAGCCTAGACCTCTCAGTGCTGGCACGTCGCCGGGAACAGCACCGCTGGCGCAACAAAGTTATGAACGCCGCGGCGGCACGCGCCCGGATCGGGCAGCGCCGGGTCTCCCATCCTCGGCGAACGGCACCAGCGCCGTTCCGTCCATGCGAGAGGTCGTGGCGCGGCGAGGCGCGGAAGCTGATATCGAAGCTGCGCAGGGGTTGGAGCGGAAGCAGTCGGCGAGCGTCACGAAGCAGCTCGGACGCTTGGTCCTTCATGACCAGGGCAGAACAAACCGATACGTGAGCAGTGCGTTCTGGTCCAAGCTGAACGATGAGGTGGGTTGCTGCTGTGTGGCATCGTTGTGGCACGGCTAACGTGACACCAAGCTGGACGAACTTCGTGCTGAGATGCACTCTTTGAGTCACGATGACGACGATTCCGAAGACGATGAGACGCCCGATCACTCTCCGCAGCAACCCGTCGAGCCTTCAACTGATCACCATGGCTTCATTTTCGGCTACCGCTCAGCAGACGTCGACCTACGACGCCTCCATCCTCTGCCGTCTCAGATTCCCTTCCTCTGGCAAGTGTACAAGGAGAATGTCGAGCCATTGGTCAAAATCTTGCACGTACCATCGATGGAGGAGCTGTTGCGCACTATGAGGAAAAGCCCCGACAGCCTAAGCCCAGCGAATGAGGCTCTCATTTTCGCCATTTACTTTTCTGCCATTATCTCAATGGAAGACGAGGAGGTAAGCTTACATGATTTCGCGGCGACTTTTGCAAGACCTGACTCAAACCAAGGTGCAAACGAACTTCGGCTCATCAAGACCTCACCTCCTATCCCAATACCGGTTTGCGCTCGAACAAGCGCTAGCGAGGGCCAATTTTCTCAACACTTCTGACATGGTCGTGCTGCAAGCATTTACTCTGTTCCTGACGATAGTCAGACGACACGATGATACGAGATTCTGCTGGACACTGACGGGTCTTGCGATCCGGATGGCGCAAGGTATGGGCATCCATCGTGACGGCCTACAACTCGGGCTGCCTCCTTTCGAAGTTGAGATGAGGCGCCGGCTCTGGTGGGCTATCTGCACCATTGACCTACGTTCCGCGGAGGAGCTCGGAACGGACATGATCATCAGGGACGGTTCCTTCGATACGGAGCTACCGACGAGCATCAACGACACAGACATTGACCCATCAGCCACCGTCATGCCAACACCCCGCGAAGGGAGGACAGATACTGCCGTCAGTCTCGTCCGATACGAAATTTGCTCGCTCGCGCGGCAGCTGCATGTAACAGTGACAGAAATGGGACCCATTGATCCTACCGACGTTACCGCAAGCCTGGAACATCGCGAGCGCATGCTTGTGGACGTGTACGACCGCATCGAGGAGAAGTTTCTGCGGCGGTGCCTCGCCGACAACGACCCATTGTTCTGGATGGCTGCCATGATTGCACGCGTCATTGCGGCCAAGATTGGCCTCATCATATACCAGCCTTGTCTCTTTCCTGGCACGGGGCCTGAGTTGTCATTCGCGATTCGCACGCGGCTCTTCGTCTCGACGATTGAGGTCGTTGAGTATAACCACATACTGAATACGGACCCGCGATGTAGGCAGTGGCGCTGGCTTTTCCAGACATACCGGCAGTGGCATGCCATTGCGTACATGTTGCTGGAGATGGCTAGGCGGCCGTGGACGCCCACGTCTGAGCGAGCCTGGGAGGCAGCGAGCATCCTGGGGTATGAAAGCCATCCCATCGAAGCAGCCAAGGCCGCCGACCACACAGCCGTGTCGCTACCGGTGAAGAAACTTTATCTCAATGCCAGACGACACCGACAGGCAGAGATTCAGCGCCTGCGAAGTGATCCAGAGGCCGCCCACCATCTCGATGTCGAAGACAGGCTCAACTCCTTGCCTGAGCGACTCGGCTCTGTGCCGGGGATGGAGGCCAGGGCTTCACAGCTCCGCGGCCGATGGCGCAAGCTGGTTCGAGGAGAGAACTCGACCGGCCCTCTACCTCCATTTGAACCTCTGCCAACGCAGGACGAGCAGCGGCTCGATTTTGTGTTCCCAGCGGCCGGCGCCGTGCCACAGCCAAATGTGTCTGCCCTACGGCAAGATGAATTCCAGCCTGGATCGGAAGGGGAGTTCGTCGACAAGCTGCTAAGCGGAGTGGTGAACCCTATCGAGCTGTGGCGTTATGCGTACCAGGGCCGACTGAGCGCCGAGGACATGTTGGCGATCGGGATGACCAACGGGGATGCCTTGCCAAGTGCACCAGCTAATGGCACGATGCAGCACGGCGCAGCCATCGACACGGCCCTATCGGCTGCGAACAAGACAATGAGCGAGCAGACGGCCGCCCTACAAGGCCAACCGCCACAGCAGCAACAGCAGCCGCAGCAGCCGCAGCAGGGGGGACGGAGCTTCGAACATGGCGCAAATCAAGCGCCGCCAACGTGGCTCTGGCCAGATCCGTTCACCTCGATGGACCCGCTGCTTGAAGGGGCGGGTATGGACGGTTTAAACGACATGGTCGGTGCGGATGACCTTGATATGAACATGGACGTTGAGGACATCAACTGGCAGAACTGGCAAGAGTCTTTGAAGGGACTGGAGAAGCCGACGAGTTCCCATCTGCCGGGAAGCGGGCATTGGGGAGGCCTCTAGATGGATGGGTCATGTGTTGGGCGATGTCAATGAGTGCAGATGATACCCCGTGATGTATAGATATTGCGATATGTGATGTCGTGGATTTTCTGCTTGTGTTGGTGCATATGTTTTGCGGGCGCGTGGGACATGCGAGGCAGAACAACAAGGCCTCCAGAGGAGAAGTACTCCCGGGTAAGGTATGCACAGTGTGGGAGGAGCCTGCCGAAGTGCCTTGTGCTACTGGGCCCACCCAACTGAATTGTCTGGTGGGTGACTCAAAAGAAGGTGCGCCCGGGTGACGTGGGTAAAGAAGGAGAGAGAGCACCTCGCTGTACGGCAGTCGCGACTTCAACGTTGGCCTCGACTACTGCGCCTTCCAGCGAATCTTCCAACCTGCAGGAACTAACGAGCGGTCTCAACATCCTTTCTCTACTTTGTGTCTTTGCTTCACTGCGCCGTGACCAGCTTGACTTTATAAGAAAAGGACATAGACTCCTGTTTTTTCGGACGTTTGCTTCATCGAGCATCAAGAACTCAAGTCGCCTCACCTTTGACTATCCCGCGACCGACCAAACACTTCATACCGCCGGATTACCGATACCGACTCCCAGATCTAATCACCCTACACAACTTCGCAACATGTCGACGACTGCATCCCCAAACCCCCGTGTCGGCGTGGCAGCCATCATCGCCAACGCCCAGGGCCAGATCGTCAGCGGCAAGCGGCAGGGCAGCCACGGCGCCGGCACGTGGCAGCTGCCGGGCGGCCACCTTGAGTATGGCGAGTCCTTCTTCGCCTGTGCCGAGCGTGAGGTGCTCGAGGAGACGGGCCTGCGCGTGCGCGGCGTCAAGGTCGCTGCCGTGACCAACGATATCTTTGCCGACCAGGGCAAACACTACATAACCATTTTCGTAAAGTGCGAGATGGAGGATGCGACGGCGCAGCCTGAGGTTTGTTCCAGCTCTCTTCATCTACCATCCTTGTCAGTCAGCCCATCCCCCCCTGCGTTCTCAAAGGCTGGGGGGTGGGAGGGGCCTCCCGTGCTTTGCAGATTGACCGCTGACACCCCTTGTTAGGCAATGGAGCCTGAGAAGTGCAGTGCTTGGTTTTGGAAGTCGTGGGGATGACTTGCGTCATCTGGAAGACGCTGGCGAAAACCTGTTCCTGCCGCTCGTCAACCTCTTCAAGGAGCATGCTGACATCGATCCTCTGCTTTGAGCGCAGCATCGTCAGGCAAATACGGGCGCGGTGATGAAGGAGGTGGCAAATGGGCACGAACACGCCCAAACGACGATTTGGAAGCCGACATGCAGCCCGCGAGTCGCACCCAGGAGGATCCCTCTAGCTTCGGCCACACGATTGGACGTCCTTGTTGCCGCGCTGGCCCCGGCCTCGGGAGCCCATGTGTAGGGGGGCTGTGTTCGAATCCTTCGGGATGAAGCACAAGGACGCCACAGGGATTTCGCTCATTGAACACCACGTTAGGTAGGGGGCGTTGCTCGACCCCGAATGGGCGGTTTCATCTCGGCTGGAGTCCTTTTTTACATGACCCCCTTGATCAATGCAACGGTCGAATATGGCCCCAAGCTCTCTCAACATGTCCAGGGCAAGCGAGCCATCCAAGACGTCTTAGGGCTGAGATGTTGGCGCGGGGAGATGAAGTGAGAGGTGATGTGTACCAGCCCCAGCAGCTGTGCAGCGCCCCTCAGCGGAGCCTATCAACACGCTCAGGCGACCACGAGTCCACCACAATATTCGTCTACAGAATTAGAACAAGCTTTCCAAGGCAGGTGCATGCACTATGTGTCGAACACAGCAAGGCGCTGCGTCAAGACTGTCGCCGATCTTGCGCCTCACGTGTGAACGCGTCGAAGCCTCTCGCTTCCCTTGAGTATCACTGACTTAGGTTGTCTTCGTTTCTCAGTCAAGCAGTACGATAGGGTGACAATGAACGACGTGAATGTCGAGCATCTTTATATCGTGGGCATCATCAGTGGGCCACGCGATGATTCTGCTCTTTGCCCAGCTGGCTTGGCTCGCGCTGCCTCGCTTGCTCCTCATCCTGAGTTACATGGTACGACGCTGACATCGACCAACCCCGGCCCCCAAAAAGCTTGCTTGCCGCCTTCTGACGCTCAACTCCTGGCTTGCTCGGCATACCGTCGCCTTTACTGGACCACAAGCGCGCGCCCGCAGGCCTACGGGTCGTCGCGATCCCATCCTTCCCCCGACCAGGGGGTTTCGCGATGCTGCAGCTCTAGCCCGAAGCTGTGAACCAGGGGGCGTGTGGTCAATGGGCACTGGACAGGGCCCTCTGGATCGTCGTATTTGCTTGCCCTCTCAGGAGATTGCGGCCGTCTTCACGTTATATCCTCTGCAGAAGTCCCAATTCTCCATTTCCTGTGCGACCCTGTTCCTCTTACTCAGGTCTGCCTGTCTTTCCTACCTTTGTGGCGCGTTGGGCCGGACCGTAGCTTCATGCCACCTCCATAATCGGCTCGAACAGCAAGTCGAACTGCCACTCACTCATCATGGCGACCGGATACTCGCCAGCAAGCACAGGGGTCGATGGCACCTCAACGGCCTACAGCTACCCGTCCCAGTACAGCGACGGCCAGCACCAACAGCACCAGCAGCAGTACAACTCTGGTCTCATGGCGACCTCCGACTATCAACAGAGCGGCCTCATGGCAACAACAGACTACCCCGATGCCACGGCAGCCGCAAAGGCCGAAGCCATCCAGGATCATCACCAGCAGCATCAGTCTCACGCGGGCTATCCTCAGGATAGCCATTCGCCTCCACCAGCCACGCTTACCAGTAGTGAAGGCCGCATTTGTGGCCTCAGGAAAACGACTTTTTGGTTGATTGTGCTGTCTGCCGTTCTGGCCGCCGGACTTATCGGTGCAGCGGTGGCGGCAGGCATCCTGGCCTCGCAGAACAGCAACGGTAACGGGAGCGCAGGGTCTGGGGCGTGAGTAGGCCCCGAATGTTGAAGACGAAAATAAAGAAGTCGAGTAAAATATTGACGACGCGCCAGGGCCACGACTGCATCAGGACCAGCAACGGCCACAACTGCCGCGGTCTCGGCTTCGGCCTCAGAATCGGCCGCAACAACGAGGAGCGCAACCTCGACGGCGTCTGCGACCGATTTCACGGCCATTCCGATCCCTACGCAAGCATCATCTGGTCTTGGCGTTACGGATCCCGGCTGCCCTGGTGTCAACGGCACCGAGTACACGGTCCCCGGCACAGATCTCGTCTTCGAGCGCCTCTGCGGCGTCAACTTTGCTGGCAACGATATTGGCCATATACCGATGACACGTATGGAGGATTGCCTGATGCTGTGCGCCTCGCAGTACATCAGCCCCCAAGGTGCGGCTGGCAGCTGCCTCGGCGTCGTATGGGGGTACGGCGGCCGCCAGGGCACCAATGCTGCGTACTGCTGGTTGAAGTTCAGCAAGACGATTCGGGAGGATGTGGCAGACACGGAGACAGCGTGGCTCATCCCGAAGTAGAGTGGACCAGATATTCTCTGATCGAGAACTAGGGAGGGGGAGAGACAGGGTGTGTGAGTTTGGCGTTCCGGTCAAGCGGAAATCTTTGCTGTCATATTTTATACTCCTCAGCGAGCCTTTACTATTGCGTCTTGTCATGTTGACAGCATTCACCATCACATATTAGTGGAAGCCCAATATTTTGTGGCTGATTTCAACAAAAAGTGAAATGAAAGAAGAAGAAAAAAGAATACAAAGTCGCTTCATCCATCCGTCAGTATCATCTTCTGCCAGGCTGGGCTTGCTATCCCTCCCAAAGCCTTACGATCGCGGCGAGTCGCTGCTCCAGGTGGCCCACGTCTCAAGTATCGTGGCGATACGGTCAATATCCCACCGCGGCCCGTCTCCTAGGCACTTGGACGTCTTGACCATGAGCTGCACGAGCGCCCTCACCCGCATGACCTCCTCGGCGGGCCCCAAGCCCTTGAGCCCCTGTTCGATGACGGCGTATTCGGCCCCGAGCCGCCGGCGGAACGCCAGCTCGACCGCCGCCGGCCGGAGGAACTTGTCGAGCCGCAGACCCTTGGCCGTGCTGTGGCTCACCATGAGCGCCTGCACCCGGGCGCCCTTGTCGGGGTCGTAGCCGGGGTGGTCGGCCTCGACGTACCCGCGGCGGCGGAAAGACAGGCGCGCGCGCATGCCGTGCAGGATCTGCTCGTCGCTGCCGCCCATGTCGCGCAGGGCGCCAAACGACGAGCGGCACGTCTCCTCGGCCTCGGCGCTGTCGCCGCGCATGGCCGCCTCGAGCACGCGCGTGCCCCACATCATGGCCGTCCAGTAGACGATGCTCGCGAAGCTCGTCTTGTCGATGGCGAGGTACGGCGCAATGTCGATGGGCGGGTCGCGCTGCCGCTGCGCCGCGGGCTCGAGCCAGAGGCCGTAGCCGAAGCCGGGGGACATGCGGCCGGATGTGTAGGCGGGGAGGGGCTCGTCTGCTAGCTTGTCTAGGGGGAAGGAGGGGGAGGACTGGTGAGAGGCCGGCACTGGTGTGTGAGGGGTGGTGAGCGACGCCGCCGGCTGTGAGACTGAGAGAAGGGGCGTGGATTGCGACTGCGATTGTGCCATCTCTGGTGGAAACGCGCTCTCACTCTGTTGGGATGACGATGACGACGCGTGCGTGTTTGCCAACTGCGGCTCCGACGAAGGACCCGGTGGTGGTGGTGGTGATGGTGGTGATGGTGCCCCGCCTGCGTCAGCGCTCACGGCAGCTTGTCGCTCCAGGCCGGCGATGCTCACGGCATCACGCACGGCGCGGTCGAGCTCGGCGCTCCCCAGTTTGGACGCGACCTGCGACACCTTCGCTATGGCGGCCTGCATGGCCTCATTGCTGGCGCGCAAGTCATTGATGGCTGTAATCTGCCGTTGTCGGAAGGCCTGCTGGGCTTTCCGGCCCCTTTCCCTTCGCAGCTGTACGATGATTTGTCAGAGGCCAGGCCTGTGGTGACAGAGAGCGCGCCCGCGCACACACGAGCAACGAGAACGGAGAGTTTCACTCACGTGGATGTCGTCTGCGTCTGGTGAGGCGCCTCTTGTGCGCTTCATACTGGGTTGCGAAGAGAATGTGAAGACCGATGGTGATATTGAATGTACGGGGTCAAGAAGAGCCGTGCTGCCGCGACGGAAGGGTGGATGTTGTGGTGGATTTCCGGCAGTGATGGATCAGCTGAGGACCCAGGGATAAGGTTTCGTGGCGATGGCTAGGTGCGAACATGACTCGGAACTAGTCTCGACTTGGCGGCCAGCGGTTTGTTTCCGAGCCTTGGAGTTGTCGACAGAAACAACTGAGCTGACGTGCGATGCTGAAGTGAATGGCATGAGGGAGAAAAACCGCGTGTGAACATCGCATGGGGTAGATCCAAGTGCTGGATCAGCGTGAGATGGCAGACGTGAAGCTTCAGGTCGGGTTGTTGGGCACCTTCACCTTGTGCTGCTTACCAAGCGGAACACCGTGCTTTCTGTAGCTGTGGTCTCGGAACGTCGGAAGGGAGGCTGTTCAGGGCGCGCATTAGCATGCCTTGTGCATCATCACGGTCTATGAGCGTCGGAACGCCATCGCGATTGTCGACTCGAACGTCCTGTTGAGCTCATTGGGTGTTTCGGTCCATCGCTTCTTGGTTGGATTTATGAGAGGTCTTCTTCTGCACCAAATGACGCTCATGGCCCAAGATCCGATCGGCCCAAAATGGATGAGATGGCTTCTCGCTACACCGCGTGGTCGGTCTGGATCTCCTCGGCAGCGACAGCGTCAGTCTCGGTGGCTAGGTTGGTTTTGATGAGAAGTCTTGTGTCTTCACCATTGGGGTTCTCGATGTGACGTAGTCATGAATGATGCTAACAAGCGTCCACAGAGTCTACAACATGTAATCGATGTGTATGATCTATGCTTAGCAACCTCCAACGAAACCTAAGATACAATATCTATACCTGATCAGCAAATGGAGTATCTCGAGGAAACTCGTCAGATGAATAGCCGAGAGCTTAAAGCAAAAACGACTAGCTCCCACGACACACGGCGACCACGCCTCCACGCATGTTCCAGAATCTACAACTTTTCTCTCTCGTCCTTGAATCCCTTAATGAAACCATCCTGGTAGCCCGTCGCGACGTGAAGCCCCTCGGGACTCCACGTCTTGATCATCAAGGTGCCGCGCCCGTTGGCGACACGAGGGAAGAACGTCTCCTGGATCCACCAAACGCCCTCGTCCTCCTGGGCGCCGTACTTCATGACGGCCTGCTCCGGGTTGACGTGGACAAAGTACGAGTAGGTCAGGCTCGCGCCGGCGGCGAGCGCCATGCCGAGACCGGCGTGGTTGGCCAGCATGAGGATGCCGTTGCGGTCCGACTCGTAGACGTGTGCCAGGATGTGGTGGTTCGGCACGCTGGCGGGCAGCGGCGCGCGCAGACGGTAGAGGATCAGCTCGCGCCGGTCCTGGAGGGGCTTGCCCTCGTTGTACGCCGCCATGTCGACCTTTTTCATGTCGAGGATCGGAAAGTTGCCGGGTCCCGCGCCGGGGAAGTACTTTTGGACGAGGTCGAGGTCGACTTGGGGGGAATGCGGCCAGGTGTGCGGGGGTCTCGAGCCGAGGAGCGCGGCGTAGCGGGTGTGCGGTGACGTGCCTTGGGAGTCGATGGATGCCGGTTCTGGCAGCTTGAAGGTGCAGATGCAGCTGAAGCAGACATGGCCGAGCGGCGCGTCGGCGTCTTCTTTCTTGAATACTGTGGACTCTCTTAAAGGGGTGGGCTCGAGGGGCTGGCGTGCCGTGACGAGGATGGAGCTGAAGGTCCGTCTCATGAAGAGGGGCTTGACTTCGTAGATGATGGGGCGATCAGAGATGACGTTGGCAGCGAATACCCCTTGTATTGACTGCACACCACATGAGCTTGCATTTTCGTTGACCTGAGGGTCGTCGATGCTCAACTCACATGTATGCCGAGCATGTCAGGAGTTGGTTGAGCTGGCGAAGCGGCTTTCCTGGCAGCCTCCATTGCGCGAACGGCTGCCAATGATGATTGGGTGTAGACATGTCCACCGTATGCCTGTCTCATGGGAGTGTAACCCTCAATCTCTTCACCAAGCACCCATGCCGGGTAAAGACCCGCATATCGGACTGGCGATGAAGGGTCCCTGGTGGGTGAGGAGGTCGGCCCTGGAAGTTCGATGAGGTTCATGACCTCGTCAAAGGATTCGTGGACCATGGTGGCAGCAACACAGCGACCAGATGGAGCCCAGTACATGTACTCGCATGAAAAGAAAGTAGCTGTTTGAAATGCAGTGAAGCTGGCGAACTCGCCCTCTCTACGGTACCTGACCGTGGTCGACAGGACCATGCCTCGGCATCTTGTGGGGGCCGTGGTTTGCCAAGGTGAGCAGCGGTTGGCAATGGTCGGCAGCTGTGAGAGGGCACACGTGATGGCGCGCCTTGGGTGAACACGCCAAGGCTGAACACGCCAAGGCTGAGTCTTGGTCTGGCTCTGGCTGGAGCTGGCCCAACCCCAGATTCCCTGGCGGGCTAGCCCTTGCGGGGGCTGGGAAGCGGCCCCCCGCATGGACCCGCTCCCACGATGGCAGGCAAGGCAGGATTGCCCATGTCGCCTCCCAGAGCATGGATGACAGACCACAACCACGGAAGAAAACTGCATGCTCGCCACGCGACCATCTATCAACAAAGCTCCTCCTTGCCTCTCCTCCTTGCCTCTTCTCAACACATCCTCACTCATCTGATTCACACCAACGCCAACAAGACTCCATCATGCCAGCCTTTTCAGTTCTCAGCGGCACGGCGCAGACCCGGTCGACCCGCCTCCTCGTCGTCACCGTCTTCATCGTCATCGTCTTCTTGTTCTTGGGCAACTCTCAGCTGGCTGCTGGACCGTACCTGGGATCCACCACCGACACAGAGCTATCGCCAGAGCACTTTGCGAACCAGCACAAACAGGCCGCCAGCAACAAACCTCCTCCTCCTGCCGGTGGTGCCGCGGGCCAGACCCCCCCTCATCAGGACTCGAATGAGGTGAAGCATCAACCCCCGGCAGAGACGGTGGATGACAACCATGACCATGACCACGACCCCAAGGCTGACACAGCAATCGATGAGCTCAATGAGTCAATCCCCGACCCAGGCAAGGTACCTGATCCGGATGTCTGGCATGACGACAAGGAGGATGAGCGTCTGGCGGTACCGGCGGGTTTGTCGCCCGAAGCAGATGCCGTTTCGACACCTGCCGTCCCAGTAGCCACTTCGCACGACGTCGCCGCCCAGTCACCGGCGGCCCCAACGTCAGCCATTGTCCTCGCGACGACGGGATCTGTTGTCGTTGCTGCTGCCTCCCCGACCCCGCCACTGCGTCCCGCCTCGGAGATTGACAACTGACGAAGCCGACATGCTGGCAACCGCCGGCGTTTGGTCTGGGTCGACATGTTCCTCCTGGGCTGCTGGTGCCGCCATCGGGTCGCCTCTCTCCTTCGTTGCGGGCGCGAAAGGATGGCCGACGTGGTAGACGTCACCCATCTTACCACAAGCGGTGGTGCCCTGCCCTTTGGACTGGCCATGACAGCCAGGGCGCACGACGCTACCAGGGCTGGTGGACGGACAATCGTCCATCCTGAACCTATTGGCATCCGGTTGTATTTGTACGACCATGGGAAATGATGCCGTGTTTTCTGAGGTACTCGGCACCTCCCATACCTATTACCTTGACGACAGCAACAAGGGCTCAACACCCGTTGTGCGTTATCTCTACGCATGGCGTCGATCTTCGGCTCGTCACCCGGCTTTAGTAAGCACTGGACCATAGGTGCGCAGCGGGTCAGAGACCTGGCCTTTCAGACAAATAGTCTTGGATCCAACCAGGTCCTCGACTCGCAAAGCCGTGACGCATCATGATGATGCTGCCCTCGGCACGTCGTGAGGGGCTGTCGATGGCGGGAAATGGAAGCAGGCAAGGGGTCTGGCAACATAACTTTTTTTTTTGGACAACGTTATGGTCTTTGGAAAGCGTTGTGGTCCAGTCGCATTTCCCGACCAGGAAGTGTGCCTCTCTCAGCAGGCGCTGACGCTTAGGCTCGTCGAGCCGTTCCGGCGAACCCTAGTTGCAGGAGGCACACGCTCGAGCATGCGAGATCTCCATAGCATTAGCAAATATCTCGAATAATGCTATTTCATCTCTCCCTCAATACGTATGTGCCAGCCGGTGCGCTACCTAGACACCTAAAGTTACGGCACGGCCAGCACGGCCACTGGCAAACATGCACACCGCTTAAAGGTCCTCCCAGAATCAGCAGGCCACGGCACCCAGCACGCGAACCGGGCATATCATGAATCTAGACGCATTTCCGATGCATCCAACATCACGGCCTTTCTCACAGAGGGCGTATGAGATCCGCACGCCGACATCGGCTAGCATTGTCATGTCCCCTCCACCCAGTGACGCTTATCAGCGCTACTCCACGTTGCCCTCCAATCCCGCATCAATCATGCGGATGAGCAATGCATTGTCGAAATGCTGTCATCGTTCCAAACTCACACCTTGGACAACTCGTCTTTTTTGTGAACATTGCTGCAATAAATCTCGCTCAACCACAAGTCAACAACACTCAGTTATTATCACTTTGAACTTGATCCCACTCATCTCGCAAACGTAGAGTGCACCACCAAAAGACGACCCCTCAGTAGGCGTGCCCACAACGTGCCCACGATGAGTTCAGCAAAGGGGCCAACGTCCCTCAGCAGCGACAAGATCCTCCTGCTCGTGGCCGCGCCGCCGAAGCAAGACTGGATCAGCCGCATCGAGTCGCGCTACCCGGGCATCGAGATCCGCTGGGTCGACTGCACGAGCTCGGGAGCGCTGACGACGCCAGACGAGATCCCCGCCGCGCTCTGGGAGGACATCACCATCTACTCGAGCTGGCTGACGCCGCGCGCCGAGCTCATCCCCAACGTGCGCTTCGTGCAGCTCTCCTCCGCCGGCGCGGACCGGTGGCTCGACCACGCGCTGTATCTGAATCCGGACGTCGTTTTTTGCTCGGCCAACGGCGTGCACCCGTACGTCTTCTTGATTCCTTCAAGGTCCCCTTGCACATCGAGTCGTCGACTGACCCGGGCCGTGGCAGCCCGCAAATAGCGGAATGGGTCATCGGAACGTGGCTGTCCCACCAACACCGCTTCCTGCACTACCATGACAGCCAGCGCGAGGCCTCGTGGGCCAACCGTCTCGCCTACCCCGTCGAGGACTCTGTCGGCCTCCGCATGTAAGTCATGTCCACCCCGCCTTTGCCACGCACCCCCCTGCCCCCACTTCGCGAACTGTGCGCATGACTGACGCCCTCCCGATGACTAGGGGTATTCTCGGCTACGGCGCCATTGGCCGGCAGTGCGGCCGCGTTGCGCAGGCCCTGGGCATGGAAGTGTACGCCTACACGCGCAGCGAGCGCGCGGACCCGGCCTCCCGGAAGGACGACAGCTACTGGGTCCCTGGCACGGGCGACCCTGAAGGCGTGCTGCCGGCGCGCTGGTTCCACGGCGCCGACGTCGAATCCATCAACGCCTTTCTCGCGCAGGACCTTGACCTCCTCGTCGTAGGTCTGCCGCTGACGAAGGAGACGGACGGGATCCTTGGTGCGAAGCAGTTCGACATCTTGTCCAAGAAGAAGACATTCGTGTCCAACATTGCGCGCGGCAAGCTCATTGACCAGGAGGCTCTCGTGGCGGCGCTTGAGCAGGGCAAGATTCGAGGGGCGGCTCTTGATGTCACGGACCCGGAGCCACTGCCGGCGGACCATCCCTTATGGAAGGCACCAAACGTCTTCCTTACGCCGCACGTCAGCGGTCGGAGCACGGCCTACTGGGATCGTGCGCTGGCTATCTTTGAGCAGAACCTGGAGCGCTGGTCCGAGGGCAAGCCGTTGATCAACGAGATAAATAGGACGCTTCACTACTGAGCCCTACATGATGGTAGAGCCTGTAAGCATTCACATAATGAGCCAAGGACGAGTGACGTGAAAACGGAAGAGGGGTATCATTAGATTCATTACCGTTACCACACTATGCGCCGTTCTTCGCAAACCCGATCTCCGACGACGAAGCCGATCCGGCCCCTGGCTCGAGCGTTGTCGTCATTTCTAAGCTGCCAGTCCCAGGCAGCGAGGTCGTGGATATTCGCCTCAGACATTTCATCTGCCTCTCAATCTCGCTACCACGCACAATGTTGACCTCGGTCGTCTTCATGATCAATATGCCGTCGGCCGTGCCGCTCCTTGCCTCGCCTGCAGGTTCGCGGCCAGTCTGGACGTGGGCAGAGTACCGGCGGCCAATTTCAGGGTTCGCAATGGCACCCTTTCTAGCAAGCTCGTCCTGCAACGTGCCGCCGACCTCGATGGTGTCCATGGCCATGGCTGGCAGACTGTCAAAGCAGGCGGGCACGCGCTGGCTGCCGTCGAAGATGTAGTCGTTCTGACCGGAAGACGTGCCCATGCGACCCCCTGAAAGATCTATGAGGCCGTTGAGGATATTGAACTCGAGCTTGAGCTTGATCGAGTAGACAAGTGCCTTGTAAGCAGTCTGCAGTTCGTAATAGCCAGCGTACTCCAAGCCCAGGATGGTGATGTCTAGCAGGATGACGACAATGTTGACAAGGATGAGATGCCAGAGCATCCGTTTGCGGGCAGATTTGGCGTGCAGGGTCGAGTCGCGGAACAGCTTGGTCGTGGCCACAATGTACATGATGGATATAATAAGCTCCTGGAGGAAGAAAATGCTGATCTGGATCTTCTCATAAACAGAATAGACCAACAGAAATCCTGCCGGGTCCGATGAGTTGGCGCCGTAGATCAGGATAGAGACGGGAATATGGCAGATGATGGCGTTTGTGATGACCATGGCGAGAACAAAGCGCAGGTGTCTCGGGTCGCGGTCGACGAGGTGCAGCCGCGAGTACAAAACAACAGACTGGCCGGTGACAAGAAAGGACCAACCGATAATGATCATGGTGACATAGAGATAGATGAGCCGCGTGTTGATGCCCAGGCCTTTGAGCAGGAAGCCGACGGAGTAGGGCACGAGACCAAAGGTGGCAACGCAAAAGCTCCAAAAATACAGGCCATTGCGCTTCTTGAAGGTAAAGAAGATGATGCAGGCGAGTTCGACGGCATTGTAGAGAGCTATGGTGATGAAGATGACAATGGGGAAGGCGGCGTTGAGGTCGCGGGTCGAGTTGCTGACGATGCCATGATCAACGTCGAACATGGTGGTTGGCTGCCTCCGAATGCCGTGTCGGGGCCACGGCCCGTTGATCAATCGGTGCGGCATGGCAGCCGTTTAGCTTCGCAGGCGTCCGGCGGGAGGAGAAGACGCGACGGTGCAAGAGGGGAAGAAGATGCACGAGAAGAGCATCTTCTTCATCTCAGCAAGTTGGCGACAATTGCCAAGTTGCCGTGCGGTGAATGAGGGATGAGATGGAGGAGTGCCGATGCCGGGTGCGGGCGTGAGCGCAGGGAAGGGACTGTCTTAAAACAGACAGAAGGGACGGCAGGGCCCTTCTTGCCTGGTTTCCCACTTCTTGCCTACCTTACCTTACTTTCGCACCGCCGTTTGTGCTTTCCTCAGATGCAGGGCGGGCGCAAATGTGACTGCCTCGAAGACCGAGTCACTAGCCCATGGCTTGAACTCAAACCCACGGGCGCCCAGGTGCACCTGACGATCATGACAGTGCGTTCTGTTGGGGGTCTGCCGCTGTGTCCTCGAACCAGATGCTGGGACGAAAGTCAGCCTCCACCATGTGCAGCCATCTGCAGCCGGACTGGCGTTCATGCAACCTCTGCAACCTCTGCAACCCATCCCCAGCCGACCTCGGGCTGTCAAGATGGCCCTCGTCCTCTGGAAGCTCACCAGACAGGCAGACTAAGACACGAACAGGAGAGACACCTGCATCCTGAGAAACGTGTTTGTGGCGGACAGGCACCAGCCCAAAGGGCTCATCGAGATGAACTCATCACCCAGCTTGCCAGCAACATTCCAACGCCCTACGCGCACCCATGCCGTCGCCAGCGGCCTGGACCAACCGGCCTGGCAACGTCCGTTGCTAAAGGGAGCTCCGTCGACGTAGAGCGCGCATGCAGCCCTTCCAGGAGACCCAAACGAGCTCGAAGCCATTCCGACTAGGGTATCGGGACAGCCGACATGACGACAGGCCCTGCGAGGCGTCAACGCCCACCACCACCTATCGCAGCCCAACCCAAAATTGGGCGCAACTCTCTTCATGAGGCGCCTGGGTCTATCGGCACTCGAGATCAGCGCCCTTGACTCGCATCTAGATCTTGAGGTTGCAGTCGATTGTAGCTGACTCAAATATACCTCAGAAATGGCCCGTCATGCATGAAACGGTTCGACGTGTTGACCAGATCACTGACCATTCAGCAGCAATGCGTCAAGGGCGCAAGAGACAAAGTTCTCAAGGCTGTGCGCTGATATTCAGCCTCTGTTTCTCAACTCACAAGACCATTGAAACGCAGATTGGCGTCCAAAATGGCATGGTGGCTGAGACACGGCGACCCAAGCTCACGAACCCAACATCCGTTCAGCAGGCGAACCGAACCATGGGCCCGGGCCCTCAGCCAAAGATCGACTGCAACTCTCTCGCTCAGTCGAACCTACCATAACAACCGTGTTGTGCCCAGCCACATGATCCAAGTCACGTCCTCTCCAGTTAGCTTATTGATGTTGCATCGACTTCCAGAAGCTTGGTGACAACGATGCGAAGAACGACTCAACGCCCTGTTAACGAATCATGCCCAGCATAGCACGATGTGACGTGCTCGGATGCGAAATGCCGCAGCTGTGATCTCTGCAGGTCTCCATTCCACGTTCGAGAAGCTATGGATACCTATTCATGATATTTCAATGACCAATGGATCAAACCAGACGCCCTCACAAAGCCTTACGAAGGCCCTCGTGCTTGACCACCCAACCGCCTTTCTTGGGGAAGCCCGGAGCATCACTGGATGATCCCTCCCATCCCTCAGCCATGTACGCAACTGCAAGTTGATCGTCAGCCAGCCACGAGACAACATCGACACCAAACAGAAAGCAAATGGTAACTGACCGGCCAAGAGAAACCCGGCGTTCCCGGGCATAAAAGGGGGCGGCGTCCCGCCGTCACCGCCTCGAATGGCGAAGCCTACATCGCGCACGTTCCGTTAGCAACCGAATCCCTCACCCCTCCCTCGGTCATGATGGCACTTACCAGCATCGTCAAACTTCCAGTAATCATATGCCGTCAAGTGATAGATAGCACGCTCTGGGTTCCCGACTCTCGCCGAGTTGATCGCTAGGATCGGTCTTCCCCAGCCCCGGATTTTCTGGTCAGTCCAGACCTCCCACACCTTATCTGCCGTGCGTCGTCCGACCTCCTCGTCTACCGCCGGCGTGTTGGGCAGGATTCCCTGCATCATGATGAGACTCCGTGGATCGCCGTTCAGCTTGGGATCCTGCCACCACGTCGAGTTGACGCCTTCGTAAACTGCATACAGGCCGTCGACCTGCGGGGGCTTGGACAACTTGGAAGCGACGGTCGTCCAGTGCTCGGGAACAGGCTGAGCCAGCCTTCTCTTCCACTCGCGTGCGACATCGAGGCCGTAGCGCCAGTATGCAACCTCGTAGGCAAGGTTCAGGGTGTCTTCGGGTGGAGTGTTTTCCGTGACACCGAAGGAGCTGCACATCGTTAGTCATGACCGGTAGAAGGTGACGAACAGACTCACGGAGGGCCGAGGTCGTAATTCCCCGATGACTCGTTGTACCAGGCGTACGACGCCATGTAGTCGGCAGTCGCCTCGAGTATCGGGTCCCATCGTTCAAGGGTCTCCTGGGTTGGCTTGGTCTTATACGCCAGCATCGCCATGTACATTGGGTGTGGCTGTTGGATTGTCAGATATTTCTCTACTGAGCTTTACACGGTGGTGACATACTTGCTGCCATAGCAGAAGAGCGTTAATGAGGCCTGGTGAGCTCCGCCCTGTCATAGTGTCGGTCATCTTGGGCCATCGAGCGCCCTCCCAGCCCATGAGCTTGGCCCGGGCAAAAGAGGTCGGCAGCAGCTTCTCATAAAGGGCAGGGAAAATGTTGTGGAAATGCTCTTCACGACCCCATGACACCCAATGTGCGTTGTGCCAGACCACCATCTCCATGTGAAACTTGCCTGCAAAACGTAAGCATGCACCCATCACGTCTCTCTCCTGCAAGTGTGGATGACTGTAGACGAGTGCACATACCGTACCACCCGTAGTTCATGAGCCCGCTCTCCTGAGGCGACTCGCCCTTTGCAGCGCTATTGACGCGAACGTGATACTGCGAAGTAATGATGCGCCGCTGCAGCTCAGTCGCATTGGGGTTCGTCGAGGCAGTCAGGTCAACGAAGCCGCGCTGGTCCCAGTACTCGTGCCATCCAGCCGTGTTGCGCCCCCTGATCGTCTCCGGCAGATCGGGCAGGCGTTTTCGCGGAGAGAAGTGCGCCGTGAACGAGAGCGAAGTTGGCTTCTGTTCCCCCTTTCCAGACGCGGGTGCGAGGGTGTACCTGTGCGCCGTGACGGCGGTTGAACCCTCCGGTTCGACCTTCTGCAGGGAAAGCGGGCTCTTGTGCGGCCAGCGGAGGTTGACGCTGTATCTCGTCGCCTGCATCTCGTGGCGGATGTGCGCCGTGTTCGCCTCGCAGCTGCGCGTCAGCCTCGTCGTGTGGTTGGCCGGGAAGTCGTAGACGCCGACAAAGACCTCGTACTTGTACCGTGTCGAGTGGATCGGCGGGTACGGAAAGTCGAGCTCGACCGTCAGGTCGCCGGACCGGATCAGCTCCGAGTCGATGTCGAAGACGACGGCGTCCGAGTCAAAGTCGCCCTGCGTGACGACCTTGACCGGGCGGCCGTCGACGGTGAACGTGGAGGTGATGACGCCGCTCCAGAGGTCGAGTTCCTGGCGCGTGTCTGAGATGCGGGCCGCCGACAGCGTCGCGTTCCTGTAGCGGAGGCCGATCCGGCCGAGGTTGACTCTGTTCGGGTTGCCGATGAGCCACTGGGAGACGTCGGGGAGCTTGGGGTCCGGTATATCATAGGAGACATTGCGGCCATGGGTCTCCATCGGCACGCCGGTGTAGTCTGAGATTTTGTTCCTGGGGGGGTCAGTCCAGCTTCTTTGATCAGAATCATGCTGTCGAAGGGGCAAACACACCCGCCACTGGGCTCGGTATCGTTGTGCCACGCCCACACCGACATGGTGTTGAATGGTAGATACGTCTGCATGCCGGTCGTATCTACGCCAAAGGCAAAGTTGCCGTTTCCGACCTGAAGAGGTGTCGTCTCATTGTTGATCAGTTTCGTCCGCACAATGTTATTATCGCTCACGATGCGGTGCCTGCTTGTGTTAGAGCGGCCGGCCGTGGGCAGACATGTTCCCCGGCTCGGACTTGCCTGTCGATCAGGCCGAGCGCCGCGACAGGCAGCATCAGCCAGACCGTACTCCTAAGCGTCACCATCTTTTGTCAACTTCGTCAAGTGGAGGACAGCTGGCTACCTAGTCTGTCGTCACATCTGGGGGGCGATATGAGCCCAACTTTATTCAGTCAAGACCGCCAAGGCATCCCGGCCAAGGACACCCATTACCCCACGTCGTCCTCGGCCTGTTGTCCAAGGGGGAATGTCCCGAAATCCGGGGGAGGGAAGCAAGGGTCTGACTCCGCAGAACCATAGCAACATGGCACATCATCATCCTTGCCACGAGCCCGCAACGGCCCATGTCAGCGCGCCGAGATGGCCCGAACACCGCCGCAACCATACCACGGCCACTGTCCATCTCGGAAGGGACCAGCACGCCGGTAGCCACTGAGCTGTCTGCCCGCATCCAAATATCCGTCGGCAAAGGGTGACTGGCAGACAGGTGCATCAGCTTTCAAGATGGGAGGATCGATAGCGCGGGGGGTGGAGAGGGCTTGAGCCAGCGGTTCTCGAGGGAGCGCTCTCGCGGCGCGGGGTTCCTGTGGCATGGTTGGTGCCGATCAGCTCCTTATACAGGCCAGGAACCAGCACTGAGACGTTGGCGGATCCGAGCAAAGATGGCCAATTGGCGCCCCATTGGTGTATCTTCTTGGCTCCGTCGCGGGGAACTGTAGCGAGCCTCTTGCTGTCAATCAGACGTCCTGCAGAGATGACAGCAAGTTGGTTCGAATGTAGCTGGGTTCAGGTTCTGCGCATGGTGCACAATCTTCATGACGCCATGATGCTCTTTTGATTCGGTATTTCTGTGGTTTAACTAACCACCATCCACCCCAGACAACAACGCCCGCTACCCGACACTCCCGTGACTTCATTCATTAGGTGTTCGCCCAGCATCTACTCGTCAATCATGAGGACACTCCTGAAGCGCACCTTGTTCTGCAGCATGTGGTCCGTCGCCTCCTTAGCCTGGGACATGGGGAACTTCTCAATCATGCACTTGACGTTGTGAGTGCTTGCAAATGCGATCGCCTCCTCCGAGTCGAGCGCGTGTCCCGCAGGCCATCCCCACACGGACCTGCCACCACCGATGAGGTGAAGCGAGTTGATCTCGAGCCCGCCCACGGGCGCCAGAATGCACAACTTGCCAGCGGGCTGCAGACCAGCCGTCAACGGTGAGATGGCCTTTGGGTTAGGAGCGGTGGCCACGATGAGTGCGGCGCCGCCGAGCTCCTGCAGCTTCTTGACGGGGTCGTCCTTGCTCGTGTCGATGTATTCGTGCGCGCCGAGCTTCCTAGCAAAGTCTTCCTTGGCCGAGCCCGAGCTCAGCACAACGACCTTGTAACCCATCTTGAAGGCGTACTGGACAGCCAGGTGACCCAGGCCGCCAATGCCCTGGACGGCAACTAGGTTGCCCTGCTCAATCTGCATCTTGCGGATGCTGTTGAAGACAGTGACGCCGGCGCACAGGAGGGGCGCAACCTCGGCCACGTCGAGCTCCTTGGGAATTCGAACAACAGCCTCGGAGCGGAGCAGCGCATACTCGGCATAGCCACCGTCCTGGGTCACGCCATTGATAGCTGCATGATCGCACATCTGGAACTGTCCACGCTGGCACTGTCGGCATGCCAGGTCATGGCCTGCAGTTTCGTCAGTGGTTGGGCAACTCGTGAGACAGCTCACGTAAACTTACCGCCATGCCATGGTCCACCAACGCGCTCGCCACCAGAAAACCGAGTAACGCCCTCGCCGACAGCGACCACATCGCCAACGAGCTCGTGGCCGGGCACACGGGGGAACACATCACCAAAGGCACCAGATGACATGCCCGTGTCCGAGTGACAAATGCCACAGGCGCGCACTCTGACGAGAACTTGGTTGGGGCCAGGCTGCTTCAGTTCCAGGTCCTTGAGGACCATAGGACCACCTGCCTTCTCGACGACCCAGGCCTTGTATGTCTTGGGGAGGGTCGACATGGTTGTGGACTGTGTGGATTGATTCGGGATCAAGCTGGTACAATGTAGAAATCAAGAGACGAGGGAATTTCTTCGGCGGGAAGATGTTGCTGGACACCGGAGAGCCCTACATTTGCAAATCTGGATCTCATGGCTCTTATACCTGGTCCTCAAGCATTGACGCGAAAGCTTATCGTTCGGCAATTCGAGCTCTACCATCGATGGTGACGTAAAGTCTGGCCGCATACCGACATCCCACTACCCCCGCATGCGGATGTACCGGGTTGAGCAGCTTGCGGTCCATACGCTGAGTCATGGACAGCTGTGTGTTCGGCTAAGTGGTCTGCCCGTGGGTAGTAATCGTTAGCTTTTCTAAAAGTCAGGAATTATTTTAAATCCGATTCGCAAGTCCGATCAGTCTGTGTGTCTGGGCGGAGCGTTTGATTTGGAGCCTCGGCGTGATTAGTAGTAAAGCCTAACACATGCAACATGAATGACCAATGTCCATGCAGATGATTGCACGCCGGCATGATTAAGCAACTGTCTCAGTCAGCGCATCCAGCACATGCCGTCCAGTGGTACGGCATAGGCAGAACGAGGGTCGAACAAGGTACACGAGTCGCGTTGTGCCAACTTTTGAGGCTTGGCCAAGGGGTATTGGATTCAACAACAGGGGTGGCTAAAGACAAAAGGCTAATCCCGCCGCGTGGTCCAGTACTTTATCTCAAGGTCTCGCCCCTAGCGCTGCCAAGGCAGCGCGGAGCTCCTTGACTGCCGTTGGGACATCTTCAAAGTTGAGAGCCGATATGGCAAAGCGCGCATGCTTGGTCGCACCCGGTACATCGTGTTCCACCGGCAGATTCTCAACCGGTAGGGGTGCCGGGGCGGAGACGGGTGCGCGGTAGACAGGAGGCGGAACGACAGACCGTACTGACGGTGGCGGCTGGTACGGCTGGTACTGCACTGGGGCAGCAGGCGGGGGAGGCGAAGGCTGCGCCGGAGGAGGAGGCGCCTGGTACGGAGCTGTGGGAGGCGAAGGCGGCGATGGTTCACGAGGCGGGCTCCGGGGCAGGTCGGGCGGAGGAGAGACAATGCGACTGAATCTGAAAGATGGCACATTGGACGACAGGTCAGGTCGTTGCGCCGGCGCTGACGGCACATCAGGAAGAGACGGGCCGTCGTTTCCACTGGCCTCGCTCAGCACCGAAGCGGGACGTGCTTGCGTCGGCAGGAAGTAGCCGCCAGGCGTCTGCACACCAGGACCGGCCGACGGCGGCAGCTCGACCTCATTGGGCGACTTGGGAATGGGGACATTGGCGGCCGAAGGGGCAGCACTCTGCTGCTTGTAGAACTCAGCATCAGGGTCGTCCTCGACCGTGGCAGCTCTCGGCGCTGAAGCTGACGAATCGTTGCCGGTCAAGAGTTGAACGTCAGGGTCGTTAGGGTCGAGGCTTGGAAGGGCGACCTCGGCCTCTGGCTGCTCAACTGCGGGGTTCGACTCGTTGGGATCGTTGCCCTCTCTGACGGCCTTGAGGATGCGCGCTGCGTTCCATCGTGCGAACTTTATCTTCTTCTGGGTCTCGGCATCGGGCTGTCCCCAGATGTTGAGGAGCTGGAAGAACGTCGCAGCAGCGTCAAAAGTATCAGCAGTTTGGCGAGTCACTTTGTTGGCGTTCATGACGCGCTCGGCGCGACCAAACGTTTGCTGCGCAAACTGCTCGACGACGGCCTGGCCGACGGCATCATCCATAATGGCCTCGTCGTCAGGTCGTTCCGTCTTGGTCTTCTCAAGCTGGTCCATGAGGTTCATGGTGTAGGCGAGGGAATCATCGTCGGTGTTGTGCAGCTGCTTCGCGAGAATCTGACTGACGACCCAGTATTCGCCTGAGAGGGTTCTGTCAGGTAACAGGTTGATAAAACACCGGCAAAGGGTTAGGGAAACGTACACCAGTAGGTCACAGCTGGCTTGACGGAGCGAAGCTGGTTTGCGCGGTTGATAAACCTCGTGATGTCCGCTTGGCGCAAACTGGCGGGGATGGCTTCGGCCATTGTCGATCGCTACAGTAACAGGACAGCTGCGAAAGACAGATTGATTGAGGTACCGGGTAGTGGATGGACGGAGAGAGCTTCAGCTACGACGAAGAGAATAAGAGCTGGACGAAGTTGGAGTTTTGGACGTTGAGGTTGCGTGAGAGGATGTCGGCAGCCTAGTTCATCAAGGTACCACCTTCCCTCAGAATGGAGAGACGCAGACCGCAGACGAGCAGGTCGCAGGCTGACGTCGCTAAAAGGTACAGCGCCATTTGGCGGCCCAGCCCCGTAGACGCAGAAACGGTGGAGCCAGCGGCGGGTGCGAGCTCAAAGCTGGTGTGGGGAATGCTAAGGAGGTACGGTGCACTACAGGGTATGCCAAGGGACAAAGGCCTATTCAGAGCCTGTCGTCTTTGCCTATGGGCCAGCAAAGCCTCCTGTGCTCCCCCGTAGCCTATTCCCCCCCATCTTCCACGCTGGCCTTTTGCCAAAAATAAGAACAAGAAGACAACACCACCACCACCACCACCTTTGGATGCTGCCAGCTGTCTGATATATATATGGTCGGAATCTCCTGGCAAACGACTCCCTCTAATTGATTGCCTTCACCTTACTCTTCGCCCGAAATCAACCTCAGATTATTCCAGTGCAACCTCGTCCACTTACACGATGCATCATGCCACCCTCCTCGCTGCGGGCATCGCCGCCCTGGCTTCCATGCCCGGGGCCATGGCAGGTATGTACCCCAAGAGCTCTGCTGTTCTTCAGGTGGATGGCAAGAGTTACGACCGCTTGATTGCGCAGTCGAACCACACTTCGGTATGAATTGGCCACATTTCTCTCGAGCGTCCTCTTCTCTTGCTGACATGGCCGTGTTGTCCAGATTGTCGAGTTTTACGCCCCCTGGTGCGGCCACTGCAAGAACCTCCAGCCCGCCTACGAGAAGGCCGCCAAGAGCCTCGAAGGACTTGCCAAGGTTGCCGCCGTCGACTGTGACGACGATGCCAACAAGTCTCTCTGCGGTCAGTTCGGCATCCAGGGTTTCCCCACCCTCAAAATCATTCGCCCTGGCAAGAAGAGCGGCAAGCCCGCCGTCGAAGACTACAACGGACCCCGCACCGCCACTGGCATCGTCGACGCCCTTGTGGATAAGATCAACAACCATGTCAAGAAGGTGACCGACAAGGACCTCGATGCCTTTGTCGCCTCTGGCACCGACAAGCCCAGGGCCATCCTCTTCACTGAGAAGGGCACCACGAGCCCGCTGCTCCGCAGCATCGCCATTGACTTCCTCGACGTCATCACGATTGCGCAGGCGAGGAACAACCAGAAGGCTGTTGTTGAGAAATATGGAATCGAAAAATTCCCCACACTGATCCTGCTGCCCGTCGGCGCCAGCGATCCTATCGTCTACGATGGCGCCATGAAGAAGCCCGCCATCGTCGAGTTCCTTTCTCAGGCCGGCACCCCTAACCCTGACCCTCCCGTCAAGGATGGCAAGAAGGCCAAGTCCACTCCCAAGGCCGAACCCAAGGCTAAGGCTGCCGAGGAGAAGCCTGCCCCCGAAGCTGCGGCCGAAGATGTTGTCGAGGAGCCTGTTGCCACCCCGGCAGCACCCGCTGCGGCGCCCATTCCCACTGTCGACACGGCCGAGCTCCAGAAGGAGTGCCTGGCTCCCAAGTCTCACACGTGCATTCTGGCTCTCGTCCCGACTACTGCCAACGACAAGTCGGAGAAGGTTCTCGGCTCCCTCGCTGAGCTGGCTCACAAGTACACCCAGGGTGGCCGTCACCTGTTCCCCTTCTACGCTGTCTCAGGCGAGAACCCGAGCGCTGCCACTCTTACCAAGTCACTGAGCCTCAAGACCGACGTTGAGCTTGTTGCCGTCAACACCCGCCGGGGCTGGTGGAGGCACTACGAGGGCGAGGGCGATGCCACGAGCGTCGAGGCGTGGATTGATGCCATCCGCATGGGCGATGGCGCCAAGAACAAGCTTCCTGCCGAACTGATTGTTGAGCCCCAGGTTGCGAAGGAGGACGTGCCTCCCGCCAAGGAGGAAGGCGCCGAGGAAAGCTCGTCCTTTGCGGGCACCGTGGCCGACGCCCCTGAGCCCGGCACCGAGACTCCTAGCGAGGAGGCGCCGACTGAGGCCCCCGTCGAGGCGGACGCCGCTGAGACGCCCGCTGACCACGATGAGCTCTAGTGGCCGCGTGCTGAAAGCGAGTATGCACCAGCTTGTCCCCAATCTAAGCCAGCGCAAGTAATGACAATGAAAACAAAAACTCACGTTCAATGATCCTACATGTCCCATGCCTTTTAACCGGGGGTATCATACCATCGTGCCCATCCCATACAAATCGTCTTGACCTGCCTCGTTGTCCTCCGCCCTCTGCCGCCTCTCTGTTTCTCTCACGTCATTTCAACATCAACTTGGGCACCCTTCTCCACCACACCCTCTTGTACCATCTTGGACCCCTTTTCCTTGACAACAGCATCCAGCTTCCCCCGAATCTGCTTGCAGCCGTCCACGGCCACTGCCAGCAAGCCCTCCAGCCGGCTCGCCTGCACCCTGCTCTCGCACACGAGCACCACAACCTTGTCGCTGTCGCCCAAGGTCGCCGCCGTCAAGAAGGGCAGCTCCTGCTCCTCCTGCGTGTTCAGGTCCAGCAGCGGGTCCGCCCCGTCGTCGGCCGCCGCGTACGTGCTCGTCGAACCAGCCGTGCACGCGGCGATGTAGTCGGTCATGGGGATGCCCGCGTCGACGAGCGCCAGCGTCGTCGCGTTGAGCAGCGCCGCGAGCAGCGAGCCGTCCTGCGAGAGCACGTGCAGGGAGATGTAGATGGAGCTGTGCGGGAAGAGGTGCGTGTGCAGCGTCGACGCAAAGGCCTTGGAAACGGTGGCCTCAAGTTCGGAAATGCGCCTGCCACAAGTCAGTCAGATTGCCCGCCCCCCTGTTGTGCATCCTGCGACACGCCCCTTTTCGGGCAGAATGGGCGAGGGAGTCATTACTTGTCGTTCCGGCCGTACTTCCTCCTGTCGACCGAGCTGAAGCCCGCGACGACAATGCTCACGTTGACGGCGGCGTCCTTCGACTGCCCGCCCGCGGGCCCGCGGCGCTGCGGCTCGGTCGGGCCCGTGACGACGCACATGACCTTTGTGTGGCCGATTTCGAGGTAGCTCGAGCCGTCGGCGGCGTCCTGCGTGCGGATCTGGGCCTGCAGCCGTCGAAGCTCGTTCCACCGGCGGCCGTCGACCCGGAGGAGGGAGAGGCCGTACGTCGAGGTGTCGAGAGGCATTGCTGGGTTCTTTATCGGTTCTGGGGTGTATTGAGTATCGCGGGGGCCTTTTCGGACGCACCAATTGCAAGGCTGGGTGTTGATGGGAGGCTGGCAGGTCTTGTCGTCGAACGTCTGAAAGTCCTGGTTCACTGGGATGGGGGAATTTTTGTCTGAGCTTCGATACGCTGTACTTGCCATAGTGGGGTTCACCACACAGTGCACCAATCTTGGTCTGTTTTCTTGTACTGTATTCGCACTTAGATGAGGCGATCAGACATCATCAAGACAATAAAGGCAACGCTGTGATAAGAAACAAGCTTATTTCTCATGATTCATGCAATTTTATTCGTGGTTCTTTTGAATGAACTTGTAGTGTGTTTCTGGCCGCTTTATCATATCCATAGAGCCAGCTTGCGGAACCATGCCGGCCTCGAACCAGGTCCTCTAGACAGTATAGGATGAAAGACCCAAAAAGAGAGACGTCGTCTAAACGAAGAAAAGAAAAACGCGGTATAGCCCGATCCCAGCCCCGATCCCGATCCCATTTACGCCGTAACCATAACGCCCTGTTGAATTCCAAATGAAACACTGGAAACTGACGGCACAGTCCAGATGGGTTTGCGGACCTCCTCCTTCTCCTCGGCGTCGGTCCATCCGCGCTCGGGACCCCACCGTAGGCCGCGGTCGTTCATGATGGCGACTTCCATGAGCCCCTTCATCATTTCTCCCGATTTCTTGACGCTCGACCAGCCGTCAAAGTCGACGTATTCCAGCGCCGGCAACTCAGCCAGTACCTCGCCAAGGAGCTTTTGGCAGAAGAGCTCGTAGAACCCCTCAGACCGGCGAAAGCCCGTGAAGACGCTGTCACTCGGGTCGCATTCGACAAAGACCGTCAGCCGCCGGACATTGATACAGTCTTTGAGCCCCAGCGCCGGGTTCACGACCCAGCCACGGGGCGGAGCGTTCCATCCAGGGCCGAGGCGCATCTCGAGAGAGGTGAGACATGCTCGCTTCGAGGGAGTGAGACGGGCCAGAAGCGGCTTCTTGGTCTTGAGGAAGCGGCCGGGAAACGTAGGGAAGAGGCGAAACGTTCGACTGCTGTAGTAGTAATGCGATGCTTCAGAGTAAATGGTGCGACAAGTCTTGAACAAGGCTAGTTTCCTGTGAAGCCGCTTGTGGTTGTCGGGATCGAGGTCCATAACCTTGCCGGCATCCGCAAAGTGGTAGGCGTACACCTTGAGTCGCAGCTCGCCGGGGAGGGACATGAAGGGGAACGGGTCAGGGCGCTTTGCCTTCGACGAACCCAGAGACAAGCCGTCCAGGGTCAAGCTGTCGGCATCATTGGCCCGCTCGGCTTCCGAGGCGCGCCGTGTCTTCCGACCGGCGGGCATTGGTCTCGGCTGGAGAGCCGAACCAAGGGCTCGAGAGCCCTTTGTGCGGCGAACCATGATGTGAATTTGACCGAGTTGCAAAAACTCGAGGCCTTATTCGTGGTAGAGTCACAAGCACCAGTCGGAAGATGTCGAGGGTTCGGTTGACTTCAGTGGCGAAAGACGACAAAGGCTTCGTCAGAAAGTGTCCAGGTGCTCAATGTAAATGTTCTTTGTGGTCGGTTTCCAGGGGATACAGGATATCGTCCGTCCTAGGCGGTAGTAAGTCGTAGAAAGTCTCGAGGGACGTAGTAGTTCGCGGAGGGTGGTCCCATGGCGACACTGGAAGCGTTCAACAGACAGGGACCACCCTTCAGCATGAGGCAGCCGCAACAGCCATGTTGTTTGTCAGGTATGTGTTTTGTGGTAGAAATCTGTGCCGATATTTTGAAGGTTCTGCCAGCAGAGCAAGTTGTCAGTCAGCAGGTAGGTACAGGTGTCGAGTGTCGGTATCAAGAGTGGGATAGGATTTCGAAGGAATGCACTGCGCGGAGGCGACTCGGAGGCGATGGCTTCAAGAGTGGAGACGAAATCGAGTGAAAAGTCCAACACGTGAGTTGAAGTTGAAGATTTGACTAAGCAGAGCCCTTCCAATGAAAGTGGGTGGGCTCTTCTTCGGAGGCGGAAGATGACCTCATTGCTGAGCTCGCCTTGCGACCGTGCAGCCCTCTGACACGGAGCCAATTGCACTGTGCATTGTCACGGCTCATCCTCGGAAAGCCGAGCTATGGGCGTGCTGCACTCAAAAATTTCCAGAAGCTTCATCATCGGCGCTGCATGTCCGCCCACCTCTCCCTCCCCACCCTACGATTTGTCGACGGTTGATGGCGCTTGTGGGCCATCCTTAATATCGAGTTTGCGGCATTGTACGACCAAGCATCGGCCAACAATCCCCTCAGTCCCAGACCATCACACTTTCACACGCCGCCATGTTGTCAAGAGCGGCCCGAGTCGCGCGATTGCAAACCCCTTTGCTCCGCGCCATTGCGCGGCCAGCCCCGAGGTCGCAACTCGCCGTCGCGCCATGGAGGAGGACATACGCCAAGGTCAACAAGCCTGAGTCCCCCGATGCCAAAAAGGCTACCGATTCATCCGAGCCCAGCTACGATGGTGACGTTGCTGCGCGAGCGGCTAAGGAGGCAGCTGATGCCGAGAAGGCCAACACGGTCGGCGACAAGGCTGCTGCCGAGGAGGAGCTGTCCGAGGCGGAGAAGGCAAATTATCCCCTGCCTGACTTGACGCAGGGTATCCCATCCACACTCGAGTACGAAATGTCCGGCGCGACGACCAGCAAGTCTGCGCTGCAGGCCATTTCCGAAGACGAGGCCTTCTCGGGCGGCGGCAAGGGCAAGGGCGAGATGCCCGCATCAGCATACGTTTCGTCCTCCGAAAGGAAACGACAGCAATTCGCCAATCGCATGTTCGTCGCCTTCCTCGCCGGCGCTGCGGGCAGTCTTGTTTACCTCGGCCGCAACTGGGACGACAAGATCGACGAGGAACGACACCCTGATGTGCCCAACGGCTGGGGGCTCGGCCTGTGGTGGAACCGAGCATCCACGCGCATGAGCGAGTTTACCAACTACTACCAAGAGCCCGCATTCGAAAAGCTCCTCCCCGACGTCGACCCTTCCTTTGAGCGCCCCTACACTCTCTGCATCAGTCTGGAGGACATGCTGGTGCACAGCGAATGGTCACGCGAACACGGCTGGCGTGTGGCCAAGAGGCCCGGTGTCGACTACTTCCTGCGCTACCTCAGCCAATATTACGAGCTGGTTCTTTTCACGTCAGTGCCTTTCGCAATTGGCGAGCCCCTTGTTCGCAAGCTTGACCCCTTCCGCTTCATCATGTGGCCCTTGTACCGTGAGGCGACCAAGTACAACGATGGCGAGATCGTCAAGGTAGGTTCTTCCCCTAAGAATGATGACTGCGTTTCTCTTGCTAATCAGAGGACAGGACCTGTCTTACCTGAACCGTGACTTGTCCAAGGTCATCATCATCGACTCCAAGGCCAGCCACGTCCGTAACCAGCCCGAAAACGCCATTGTGCTCGACAAGTGGACCGGTGACTCCAAAGACAAGGATCTCGTCGGCCTCATTCCTTTCCTCGAGTACATCCACACCATGCAGTACGGTGACGTCCGCAAGGTCCTCAAGTCCTTTGAGGGCAAGCACATCCCTACCGAGTTCGCCCGTCGTGAGGCCATCGCCCGCGCCGAGTTCGAGAAGCAGCTGGCGGCCAAGGGCAAGAAGACCCCCTCCGGCATGGGCATGCTCGGCGGTATGCTCGGCCTCAAGCCTTCCAACATGGCCCTGATGCAGTCTCCGGACGGCGAGCTGAGCCCCGCCGAGGCTTTCGCGCAGGGCAAGATGCTCCAGGACATTGCGCGTGAGCGTGGCCAGCGCAACTACGAGTTGCTCGAGAAGGAGATTAGGGAAAACGGCGCCAAGTGGCTGAAGGAGGAGGCGGAGATGCAGGAGAAGGCTCAGCAGGAGGCCCTCAACAGCATGATGGGCTCCTTCTCGGGCTGGTTCGTCCCCTCCAAGACGGAGGAGAAGCCTGCCGACGGAAAGAAGGCATGAAAAGAAAAAATGCCGCCACTATAGACTGGGGCGCACACGACGAGCCTGGATTGCTGTTTGTTCATGGTGCCTCATGGAATACTGGCCAACAGTGGCACGCGCCGGGGCCCGACTTGACTCTCCTCTACTAATCTTGTGTACTCTACGGGGCAGGTGGGACGGCTGGGAGAGGTCGCATCTGCATATAGACTAACGGCGTGCCGACGAGCGCGCGTGTATGAATGTTGTATAGTAGGCTGTCAAGCCAATGTCATTCCATTGAATCATCTACAGTCGAGGTAGCACTGTGACCCCAGGACATGACAAGGCCACTCTCGCTCAACCAGTTACTCGTCCAGATCATCCAAGCACGCCGCTCCTCACGCAGGCGGCGACCTCCAAAGACCTCTACACCACTCGCAGAAGAAATTTGTCGTGCACTGGTAGTATCTACCGCGTGTCAGTTCGCTCACCCCACGGGCCACGTGAAAGGTGAATGGACGTACTCCCAGAAGCCTTCGCTCGTACTCTTGTCGATCTTGCTGCATTGACACTCTGCCTTTCTCTTCGCGCAGAGGACAGGGTCGGGAGGCGGGATATGCCTGCCGCTAATGGCTTCAAAGTCGGCGCTGGCAGCGTGACGGTCAAGATCGAGGTCGTCTGTGGCTGGCGCCGCAAGCACGCTGGAGCTCAATGCAAAGACAAGAAGTGTTGCGGGACGCATTGTGACGGTTGTGCTAGTTTTGCTGAATGACGGGGTAGCTCAGGTCTATCGACTGCGGAAGATATGCTATGCGGAGGCAACAGATGGCACCGGGCGAACGCTGTCTCTTATACACGACGCCGAGCCCTCCAAGCACCGCAGTCACGTCCGTGGACCAGCAAGGCCTCGCTGTTGCACGACCCCAGAGACTCTCGATGGGGCGCATGGCGAACCGCGTACCATCTGACGATTCGCCTTGCACACATGGCACAAGGCGAACTTTCGACCCGGGCCGAGCCACGCCAGCCGAAGCCATCCCTTTCAAACCACATGGGCTGGCTTCTTGTTGGTATCAGATTGTCGTGTGTTGGCACAGTCGTACACGGATCGCCGTCGCCAACGGTCATTGTCTTGACCGCAAATGTCTTGGACACAACGCCAGAAAGGTGCTGAATCTTGACAAACAGGAGGGCTGCTCGTACACGACCGTCACACGTACGAAGATGGCGACACCAAGAAGCCTGTCTATAGGGTGGTTCACGAGGCACGACGGAGAGGATCGCCTGAGGTGAACTATCTGCTTCGGCAACTCTGGGTATTTCCCAAAGGGTCTACAATCCTCGCTGCCATTTGGCTGAGGTCTGAGTCTTTGAAGAAGGGTGGTTACGACGATGAACCGACTTTTCCCTTTGAGGTGCCTGGTTCATCGTTGATTTTCTTACATTTCCCAACTTCACAGCGATGAAGTGACTACGCATACGGAGAGCGTCATGGATATCATGACCATCCAGCACCAAGTATCACAAAGCTGCCCCGCAACGGTGCGACAAACAGAGGGGTCGACTTTGCCGACTGTCCCTCACCGCATCGAGCGTGACAAGGTCAGGGTAGCTGTTGTGGCAAGTCGCCTCATCACTCTTCGCAGCATGCCCCGGTGCCACAGATCACAGAGATGCACATGTCAACCTGCCAAACATGCACGAACGCAGTCGTCTGCGCCGTGCAACGCCGTCCCCAGGCCAAAAGACGCAGACGTGACGACGACAAGAACGGAGAACGACAATGCCGGCCAGGGTCGAAGGGTCAATGGGTGCGACCTTGCTGCCGTGTCCGGCGTTCGTCGGTCGCACGAGAGCCTCACCGCCTTGTTCTCTCGCTAGAAGTCACCCCGTCGGTGGGGTGAGGCGAATAGCAGAGACGACGGTTGCATCATGGGATCTAGCAGATGAGAGCCTTCGGAATCATGTCCGAGACAGGAAGACAGAAAAAGGACAACGTCAAGTCTTGGAACAATGACATGGTATTACACTGACACAAGCTGGTATCTGCTGTATCGCAAAGAGGCCCACTCTATGGCGCTTTCTTCGGCTTCTCCTCCTCTGGCGATCTCGGCGTCGCATTCTTCGGCACTTGGGCAGCATCCCCATTCGCGGCCTTGCCATCTTTTGGCTGCTTTTTCGCATTGGTCGCAGGTACGGCGCTGCCGTTGCGCTGTGGCGTCTTGGCTGTGCCCTTCTCGGACGCCAACCCCGTGATCGACACAACGGCATAGGCCACGGCGACGACGACCGTAATGAGATCGAGAATGTGCACGGCCCACCAGAGATGCTGGGTGCCCAGGGCGCACGTCGCGTACTCAAACTTCCAGCTCCACGTCGCCTCGTCAAACCAGGCGCTGAGCAGGCCGGCGTTGCCGCCGAAATCGCCCATCATGCTGCGCACCGTAATCTCCCGAATGCCGGAGAGGCCGTCGGCGCCGACGGTGCCGTTGCCCTTGGCGTGCTCCCAGCGGCTGACGTCCCAGTAGCGGTTCCCCTCCTTGACCTGGCGGATGAAGTGGTACGTGTCGCAGCCCTCGTGGTCGTGGCCGTTGAGGATGACGCCCGGGCGGCCCAGGCCGTGGCCCGGGGCGTGGGGGTCGCCGCTCATGCCGTAGATGCCCTCGAGGAAGCCCTTGCTCGCGGCCGAGGACAGCTGGTTCTGCTCCTTGAGGCCGCCGTCGTGGTCGTGAAAGGTGAAGAGCGGCGCGTCGACGCAGACGCCCTCGGGCTTGTAGAGGGGCACGTGCGTCAGGACAATGGTGAAGTGGCCGCGGAACTCGACGGCGGACGAGGTGGCGATGACGTCGTTGATGAACTTGTACGTGTCGTCCTGCAGCTTGGCGTCGCGCGCCGGCGTGTCGAGGTTCATGTCGTTGAGCACGACGACGCGCAGCTCGGGCGGCAAGCGGTCGGAGGTCGGGTTCGTCGCCTCGTCGTAGAGGGTGCCGTTGGCCGTGGGGTCCTGGCGGCCCAGCTCAAAGCGAAGCTCGTAGTTGGCCTTGCCAAAGGCCTTTTCGAAGCGGCGCAAGCGGTCCTCGTTGATGTCGCCGGCGTAGCCAATGTCGTGGTTGCCGACGATGTTGATGGCGCGCCGCTGCCAGACGGCCTCCTCGCCCTCGTTGCCCATGATGGCCGACAGGTCGTAGTCCATGGCCGGATAGACGGCCGTCTCGTCGGGCACGCGCTCGGTGCCGCGGAAGACGCGGTTCCAGAACCGCCCTGCGCGTCGCTGAAACTCGTCATCCTTGACCCATTGGCTGCCCAGCAGGTCGCCGAGCACGGTCAGATGCGTGGGCTTGGTCCACCAGTGGACCGTTCTGTAGATGTGGGCGAGGTAGAAGTCGTTGCCGAAGAGGTCGATGTGTTTGCGCAGGGATTCTAGCTCGACGAAGACGTCTTCAAAGATAAAGTCGATCCAGTCGTGGAGGGCCTGGCGAATGCGCTCGCGCAGCGACGAGTGCGCCGTCTTGTAGGTGACATGGCGGTAGAGGCTCTGAAGGTGCGGTACGCGAGGACCTTTCGAGTTGGGGATGGAGGAGTCGCCCTCGAGCTGGGGATCGCCGAGTGCGAGGAGTCGGAATGGTGCCGGTTGCGCATCGGTGCGCGATGGGATCGGAAGCTTAGGGACATGTTGTTGTAGTGTCTCGAGGAAAGCTGGCAGCCCGGCTGCCGACTCGGAAGGTGTCTCAAGGCCGCGGGTGGTGGTGTTGGTCGTGGCGGTCAGGGGTAAAGGAAAGGCGCATCCCAGAAAGACAGGATACAGATAGAGGTAGAACGTGGAGGCTATCGCCAGGGGGAGCAGCAGGCGAATGCCATGACGGAGGAGGGCCACGAGGAACATGTGGTGAGCGGCGGTGGGAGCAACAGCAGCATCCACAAGTCGACAGCCGACACTGATGTATCGTGGCCGGGCGTCGCTTGACTGTGAGGGTGGGTGAAGTAGAACACGGACTGGAAAACGTGGTCATCATGGTGTTTTGCCAAAATGAGAGAGTCTTGTCCAGGGGTAAAAGGAAAGCTCGGACCACTCGTCGCATGTGATGCGGCAGGGGCAGCGTGCGAGGCTGAACCCCTAAACGGAAGCCGCATCTCAGCGCCCATAGTGCAAGACGCCAACACCATCACCACCAGGGATTCTATGCAGTCCCATCCGCAGGCGACAGCTACAGCGCATGCCAAATCACCATGCATTGAAGCCGACATGACTGCATATCCCAGCTGCTCTGGCCCCAAGGTTGGGCCTATCACCGGTCATATGGATCTACCCATCTGTTACACCTCACAACCATCATGATCAGGCCACCAATCATACTGCCAGGGCCGACATGAACCCGTGAAAGAGGGCCGCCACTTGAAGTCCAAGGCGTTCTTGCCGTCCGCGGTGCACCTGGCCGTCCGCCTTATATTAGGTTCCTTGACATACGTACCGCCTGTTCTGTCTCTTCCAGCCTGGTTCCCTTTTTGTCTTGCCGGAAATATCTCTTCAATTTGCCCAGTAAGCCACACGTCTGGTCGAGAACAGAGGTTTCTAGTGCTGCGCCTTCTCACAATGTGATCCTAGGCTTTACTTGCTCTCCAATTGGGGCCCAGTGGATTTCGCATATGAACGGACAATCGACTATCAACGGCAATAATGTTTGGAAACCTTTCGTATATCGGCCGAATACATCTCAATGGATAGTCTACGATACGCAAATGATCAGTATATTTTGGGGTGTTTCGACTTTTCTACACCTTTCCGCATGAGGCTATTATTGGACTACTTCTTCCCGGGGCTTTCACTTGCCACAAGACTTGACATAGCTCGAACTGTGTCCTTAGTGCGACAACAACTGCATTCGAGAGTTGAGGAAGTCACTCATTGTTTACCCGAAGCACGCCCAAAAACCCATTCAGGATCATCAAGGGGCAGTATAGACTTCACAGAGTTCAATGCTCGCAAGCGTCGTTTCGTCCTTCATCTAGCGGCCCGCAACCTCGGGCTGTCATATTCTAAATCTGTTCTTCAGTCGGATTCGGATTGCTGGAGCGAAACAATTCGCAACTTACTCATGCGTCAGGACACCGAACTGTCGTCTCTTGAGCCATACAACTCATTAAGCAACATGAAATCAGCAGTACTACATACCCCGTTTCTCACCTACCTATGTGCGGTACTAGAGGCGCACCGGCATGATAAGACGGAAGGCCGCGTTAGGGAATCATTGGCTCAAGCGCTCTTATCGTGGCTCAGACTAGTCAAGTACGCGGGTGTGAATCTGCACACAAATGGAAGCGATGAGAGACAAAAGTGCAATGAGACAGTTCGCAGAAGCCCTTTCTTGCACATGATAGATAACCTCGCAAGGTCCTATCATATTCGACTTATCAACATCGACTACGGTGCCGAACCGGAGGACTGGGTTCTGTGGTGGGCCATTGAATATGAAGAACTTGCTGGAATATTCTGGAATATGGTGGAGAACCCCCAACTCTGCTTGCCAGGCAGCTGGGTTGAGGACGACGTTCTACAGCATCAAGACCGGTGGATTGGCAGCGCCGGAGACACTTTCATGTGGGCCGGGACATTCGTTGAGCCTCAGTAGATGAGATGTAATCAAATCTATCTATGCACCTTGTCGCGAATCTGTGTCCTCCTCCAGCCTGAAGCCACCCAGCATCTCTTGTCTTCTTCTCGTTGCGAGAGTCGACACAACAGCGTTATGGCTGGTACGTCATGTGCAAGGACGTGGCGTCCGATGTGCCCCTCGGGATTTGCTTCCAGGCCAGAAGCTTTGATGCGCTGCTTCACGAACTTTCGGGCACGCGTCGCGAACCTGGTATCCACGGGCAATTTCTTGACCAACGAGGCTTCAATCGTGGTTCTCTCAATTGTATTGGCCGTGAGCCAATGTTCATGGATCTGACCCAAGCTCGTCTTCGTACTCGTCGTCCAAGGTAGGCACATCCACGAGGAATTGGGCGTCATCAAGCTCCTCACCGTCGGCGAGGAATGCAAATGCTACAGGGATATTATCCTTCAAGCCTTTGCTAACAGGCTTGTCATCGTCGTCAATCCGTAGTATCTTCCATCCTTGGCTGAGGTCGTTGACATTGTTCGGTAGACCGTACACTATTCGGACGTCATCCGACGTCGGCACGGGGGTGACATCGGACAATGCCGGCGAGATTTTGAGACCATTCGGAAAGCGCTCACGCAACACCTCGAGTAGAGATTTGTTGATGGCGGAGAAGGACTGCAGGCTATCGACGAAGAGGAGGATTGTGTGTACGCCGTACTTGAAGCGGATAGAGTAGTCCGTAGCATCTACCTGCGACTGGGAAACTTTAGTACGGAGATCGAGTAGGCGATTGCGAGGGTTGCTCACCATTCTTGCAACCTTGACCCAAGGGTCTCTCAGACTTGTCCAATGGGTTCAAATAACGGGCAGCTGCGGATGTGAATGAAGGGAACCAAGGTGGGGAGTTGTTTGTTGGTGGGGCAGTTTCCCCAGATCACGACGCGAGAATAGACTGCTACTCCACCCTTCTGGCAGTAAATGCGAAGTCAGGTGATCTCGCGTAAAGTGTTCTCGAGAGGTCGAGCTTTCAATCCTCAGGCTGTCGCATCGTCCAACACTTGTCTGCGATGACTGGAGTTTGATATCGAGTTGTCCCCCCCCCTTTCCATGTCAACACAGTCATGAGATTCTTCTCTACGAAAGGCTCGAGATAGCGCAAAACCAATCTTCGCGAAACCTTCCTCGCGACCCGCGCAACGACAGCTTCATTGCCCCCCATCATGGCCGCCCACGAACCGTCCATGGCGGAGGCGCTCAACCTTGCCCAGCCCGCCGCTGAGTCCCGATTGTCCATGCCGACACCGATTCGCATTCCCGTCTCCGGCTTCGTCGGCTTCAGCATTGGCTCTACATTGGGTCTGATCCACGGCAGCCGCATCGCCCAGTTACAGTTTCGCGCCGAGCACGCCCATAAGATGCCAACCTCCACGACTGGATGGTACCTCTACCACAAGAGCAAGAACTACCACACAATGTTCGGCGGTATGCGCGAGGCCATTCGCATGGGTTCTCGTCTCGGATTCTGGACACTGTTGGCATTCGGTCTGGAGAGCACCGTGGACCGCTATCGTGGAAAGACGGACTTCCTGAGCACTGTACTCTCTAGTGTGTCCGTAGCTGGTGCATTCAGTCTGTGGAGTGAGTTGATGTTATGATACGCCAGTGTATCGCGACGAGGTTGGAAAACCCTAACTGAAACTTACAGACCGCTTCTCGCTACCTACGGCCGCTAGGACAGCCAAGTACGGCCTCCTTTTTGGCCTTGTCTACGGAAGTATGCAAGACATCGTTGGCTTGGCGCGCGGCAGGCCCGTTAGTTACGTCGAGTTCTTCCGCCGAAAGTTCCGGTGGGCCAGCAACGTGGAGGAACAACGCCAAGCGTAGGACCCCATACCAGAGCCTAAAGAATCAACTCCGCCATTGAGCATGGTTGAGTGATGCAACGTCAGCCGTTTATCAGATGTATCAACCCCGCGCCGGTACTCGTCACACGACTTGCCGCTTTCGGATCTGGCGCCTAGCAGCTGGACCACGACATCAATGCATCGCCAGGTGTCTAGCCCTCGCATTATCGAAAATCGGATGGCGGTCCCGACCCATCCGCGATGCTTCATCTGCGATTGGGGCACTTTTCCGGTCGGGGACGCCCTCCGGTGCCGTCATGTCCGACACGTCTGACCTGACGGCTGAATCCCCGCCCACGTGACGGTTGATAAAGCGAACCTCCGCACCAGGGGAATCGGGCTCTCGAGGCCGCAACCAATGGGCGGTATCAACTGCACACGATTGCCCAATTCGGGCATTTGGAGACGGCCTGTTATCACAGTGTCGGATCAGTTCGCGATTGGGAGGGGGCGGAGTGCCGCACCCGCCCCGGCAAACCTGACGATAGCTCAGAGGAACGACGGACATAAAGGGCCGGCGCCCAACTTTGTCGCCTTCGTTCCTGGCCTCCCGCGGAGTGTTCAAGGAGCGTTGTACATCTCATCATATCTGTAGACAGTTCATTCAGAGTTTGGTGGATGCATAGCCCACCCCTCATCCACCAGCCCATACGTACATCCATCTCGTCGACCATTCATCGTGATCAACTTCATCGCTCTGGTCCCGTCGTAATTGCTTCGCTACCATCGCAGTAGCCACCATGCTCCTCTCCTTTCGCCTAGCGAAACTATCCAGATCCAAGTGGACACGGCCAGGAACCAGCGGAAATATATTTCACCATGCAGCGACGAGACGAAACTGTGCAGTCGATTCCCATCGTGATGCGTCTCTCATCCACACCTCATCGAAGAACTCGTACCACCCCAAAGTCCACCTCCACCCCGCCGCTCCTCCCGCCAACCCTGCCGCTGTCACCCCAGCGCCCGCTCACAGAGCCCCCCTGTCTCTCCTCCCACTGCACATGATCCTCCGCTCCCTGCTCACGACTACGATATCGTCCTCCCGCTGGCTGCTGCCGCCCTCGCTGGCCATCGCCTCGGCCCTCGCGCACGCGACACACCCCCTCCTCAGCCCCGACCGCAACCCCCTGCTCCGCGTCCTGCTGAAGCACACGTTCTACGCCCAGTTTTGCGCAGGCGAGACGCCGGCCGAGGTACGCCGCACCGTGTCTCGCCTCAAGGGGCTGGGGTTCTCCGGCGTCATCCTGGGCTACGCGCGCGAGGTCGTCATGACGGAAGCGCAGACGAGAGGCCTCAGCGGCGCCAGCGAGACGAGCAGGCGCAGTGACGAGGAGGAAGTGCGGCCCTGGCAGGAGGGGACGGAGCAGACGGTGAGGCTCGCCGAGGCGGGCGACTTTGTGGCACTCAAGTAAGCTTTGTTCATCTGTCTACATATCTGCGCGAGCCCGCGAGCCCACGAGCCCGCCATTGAGCAGCAGCAGCGCACTGACCGAGTCAGATTCACCGGTGCCGGCCAGCAAGCCCTCTACGCCCTCTCCGAAAGATTCCCGCCCTCGGCGGCCTTAGCCTCGGCCATGGACAGCATCTGCGCCTGCGCTGCAGCTCGGGGTGTCCGTCTCCTCTTTGACGCCGAGCAGGCCGCCGTTCAGCAGGGCATCGACGACTGGACCTTGACGTACCAGCGCAAGTACAACACTGTGCCTGGGAGGGCTGTCATTTACGGCACGTACCAGGCGTACCTCAAGTCGACGCCAGCGACCCTGACGCGGCACCTGCTGACTGCACAGGAGCAAGGGTTCACGTTGGGCGTGAAGCTCGTGCGCGGTGCGTATCTGGGTTCGGACCCGCGACACCTGATCAATGACACAAAGGACGAGACGGACGCGGCCTATGATGACATGGCCGAGGGGATGCTACGACAGCAGTGGGGAGGCCGTCTGAGAGCAAGCGGCTCGTTTCCTCCAGTGAGTCTCGTCGTGGCGTCGCACAATGTTGATTCGGTGCGGCGGGCGCGGGCCTTGGTCGAAACGGGCCAGGCGCGAATCGAGTTCGCATTTGGACAGCTGCAGGGCATGGCGGACGAAGTGAGCTGCGCGCTGGTGATGGCGGCGAATGACCGTGGCTTAGAAGGCGCCAGCTCGGGGTCGAAGAAGGCCATGGAGACTTATAAGTACCTGGTCTGGGGTTCTACTGGGGAGTGCATGAAATATCTCTTGAGGCGGGCCCATGAGAACCGAGACGCTGTGCAGAGGACGCGAACCGGCCGGGATGCCATGCGGGCCGAGATCGCGAGGCGTGCCAGAAGTGCTGTGGGTCTGGAGACGTGACGGAAAACTGAGGATGCAGTTGAGGAAGAGGAAGCGTTGGCTTGGAGTTTGTTAGCAGTAATTCTTCAAGATCTTGTTATGCTGATGACGCACCATTCCAACACGTGTGTCTGAATATCTCCCAGTCTTAATTCTTGCCCTGCTGCCCCCAAGGTTCGTCTTCCGCTTACACCCCGCGGAGGGCCATGGCGCCAAGCACTAGTTCATCCATCTGCAGCTTCCTCTCTTGCTCATCCTTGATGGCGTCGAGCCACTGGAGGCCGTTGAGCTTGTAGTATTTTTTCACTTTTGTCCAATCTGTCGACACTCCAAGCTCGTCGTCGGAAAACTCCGCAGGTGTGCCTTCCACGTTCTCGGCCAAGTGCTTCTCGATGTCATCGCGAGACACGGGCGTCGGGGCACTATCACTCGGGTAGGTGATCTTGACGACAACAAGATCCTTGGTCGTAGGGCTGATTCCAAAGCGACGATAGGCATCTGCAATCTGTGCCAGGTCAGCCTGGGATAAATCAGGGGGGATATGTGACGTGCGTACGTTATTCGAGGGACTCAGTGACGTAACAAGCTCCGAATGCACATTCGGAGTCTTGAGGTTGTCGCTCAGCATGGCCGCCAGCGCCCTGAATGCAGCGGCCAGAATCTGGTTGCGCGACGCGACGACGGACGCGTCGATGAACGCATACTCAAACGCGGCGTTGCGCGCCAGGAGTTGGGAGTGCAGAAAGCCCGCGTTCTGGACTCCGCGAAAGAGGGCGACATGAACCTGGTGGTCCGAAGGGACGAGGTCGAGGGCGATTGTGTCGAGCATGGTGCTTCCTCCAATTGAGTCGCCGAACAGGCTAATCAAGGTTCTTCAGGGTGTCCCCAAACTATCGAGGCACGAAACGCCGGGCTGTTGTGGGAGTCGAGAAGCGCTGGCCACCCTTGTGTGGTCAAAAGGTGTGGACAGAGATCAAGGAAAAGCTTCTGACGGAGGGGTAAATGCAACGAGGTACGCTAGAGGGGCAGGTGGGGGCTAGAATGGGGGTGCCTGGTCTTTGCTGGTGCATCGAAGGCGGTACGTACCTATTTCTTACTGGACCTATAGATGACTAAGGCAAGTCGACGCCGGCATGTTGCTTCCAGAGACACCCTGATAGCTCAAAATCTGTAACTCCACCCATATGATGTTGTCGTATCCAGACCGACCATACGAGCATCGTGCGTTACTGGGAGCAATGCAAGGCCTGAAGCAGGGGTGTCCGCCCGTTTAGCCGCCTGTTCGACCTGCCAATCTGGACGATGGTCGCGAATGGACGCTGTGCTTGTTGTTGCCTGCCTTATTATGGACGGCAGATATCTAGTTGTGGACCGATCTTGCCAGTACATGTACAGCTCGAGGCCTTGAGGTCCGTCAATGCCTGATCCAGGACGAAACATTCTACACGTTAGAAAAGTCTATCGACGAAATTGAGGCATTTGCTCATCATGCAATTGGACCATATATATAGAATGTGTGTAATTTCTTGGATGGGAAACACGTCGTTGACAGGACGAATGATGGGCATCTTATTCAAGATGAGCAGACACCTCTTTTGCTGCCGCTAGAGGCGATAGTTTGGTGGCAAGACGCTAAAAATAAAAGGACCAAAAGGCTTGTTTGAACGTGGGTTCCAGCATGGCACGAACCCTTGGTGAGGTGTGTGCATCTAAAACTCAAAAAGCAGAAGCCCCAAACCATAAAATGGGTGGACAGCAGACGCTGGGCCTGAGTCGTGTCACGGGACATCTGAGCTGAGGTTCTTGACTCGGGTCATCAGACGAACTACTTGGTCGCCGTCTGGGCCCCTATTTGTGCTTTGTGCTGGTCCGATGACATGTGATGAATGGGCGGCGATAGCGCGACGATACACCCACCTTTACGAAGCCATCGGGCACCTAGCTACAAAGACGATGGAGGGCAAAGGGATTGGAAAAAAAAAAAAAAAAAACTTGCATCCCACGATCGGTCAACTTTGGCTTCACATTCCAGGCTGGGAAGATGGGGCAAATTTGAAGCGGGGTGGGTACTGGGCATACCAGCGAGCACCAAGACGAAACCGGAACTTGGACCCCATTCCTTCGGAATGGTTAGGAAGATGGCCGTCTGCAGCTGTGACATTAAGCCTCTTTCTCGACCGTGTGTCCGGCAGATGAAGGCTATTCGTGGTGGTCGGGTGACCAATGATGCAACGTCGTATGAGGTCCACGATGGTCGTCATGGAGAGGTATCTCTGAAGAGACAGTTCTGGACCTCGAACGGCTATGCTATCCCATCAAGGATTCTTGAAGTATTATAAAGGTGACGACGACAATGACAAGGGGCGCCGGGGGCCTGGGACGCAAGGGGCATGTTTTAGAAAAGAAAAAGGGGGGTTATGGTATTAGTGATGGTGACGGTGACGGTGGTGACGGTGGTGACGGGGACAGGAGGCAAGGGCTCCTGACCTTTCGGTTGTCAACGTCAGCCTTGCCTCAGCCCCTCAGGCAGAACCTACCTGCCTACCTAGGTAGGTAGGTACGTATGGTAGGTAAGGTACCTCAGGTAAGGCAAGTTAGGTAGTTGGGTAGGTAGGTTCCTGCTACTTCCCTACAGGGAGGTGCAGCTTCTAGTACAGAAGCAGACGGGCAAGGACGCAGGACCATGGCTTCGGCGCACGCGCTCGTCCGGCGCTGATAGTGGGGGCTAACGGAGACGGTACTGCCACTAGCACGCCTAGCGCGAGTCCCCGGATTGGCGCCTTGCCTTATGCGAAATCTCCTGCAGCAGCCGCGACGACCGGTCCTGGCGCGGTGCATGCTGGGGTCCCCCCCTAAGCACCCAGGATTCAGCGGCAGTGACAGCGATGGCAGCAGTGGCGGCTTGGGCAATTGGCAAGGTCGAACTTGCCGTCGGCTGAGCAAGCCCCGTCGTCGCTTCCCCGATGCGCGGGGACCAGCAACAACTTGCAGGAATCGGAAACGGGCGCTGTGCTGCTGGGGCGAGGAGTGACCGACCTAGTCCTGGTAGACAGACCTAGACCTGGGCCTGCCTAAACCCCGATCAGTCTTGAGTCTGAGCCTGGGCCTGAGCCGGAGCCAGAGCCTGAGCTCGCCTGCCTGCCCTGCCTGCACTTGAGCCTGAGCTTGAGCCTGATCCTGATCCTGTTCATGGAGCCTTGAGCCTCGAAGCCTCGAGTATTCGTATGCTAGCTGCCCCCAATTACCGTCGGTGTCGGCTTTCCTCCATCTCCTCCTTCGGCCTTACCGTCGTCACTTTGAGATATTTCCCCTTAAATCCTCCATGGTCGGCCAAACGAGACAGCCCGTCACCCGCGACGACAAACCTGCGCCCAGTCACCTATCCTTCCTCCCCCGAGCCCGACGACCGTCGCCAGCCGCACGCTCTGGCCTACGCGCCCGTGCTATCACTCACCCTCGCAACGCACCGCAACGCATCGACGCGACAGAGCGGCGGTCCTTTCGAGGAGAGGCGCCATCCCTGTCCCTGACGCACCGCGACGCACCTCAACTGTTAGATCCAACCAGCATCAACGCAACTTGGAGCCAAGGCGCAAACACTTGCCCACGCCACCGCGCAGGCGCAGGCGCTTTCGCAGGGTGGTAATAACGTCACCCCGCGCGGCAAACCCCTTCCCCACGGCAAACTCCGCGACGCCAGCAGCTTTCCAACCCCAAAGTCCTCTTGGCAACCGACTGTGCTGCTTCGACGGCCACAACCACACCACGGGCGCCCCTGACGATGCCTACTGGCCGTCCGGTGAAGCGTCCTGCCGACGCCTTTGCTGGCGATGTCACAAACGTAGTCTTACGGTCGGGCATCGTCCCATCCAATGCTGCCGATCCCATCGTCCCATCTACCACGCATGACGCCACCGACCAAGCCGCGACCTCGCAGGGCAAGGTCAAGCTTCCTCGGGTCGAGAACCGACAAACGCAAGAAGACTTCTCCGCCCAGGTCAAGAACCGCTTAAACTCGTTCACCAGGACCGGCCAGGCTTGTGATCGCTGCAAGGTCCGCAAGATCAAATGCGACGCCCTCCCCGAAGGATGCTCCCACTGCCTCCAACAAAACATCACTGCTACGTCACCACCGGATGTCCGCGCCACCGATCGCCG